CTATGGGGTCCTGGAGCAAGAACGGCGGCAAAACAGGAACCGAGACGGAGGGTGCAATCAATCACGCTGAGGCCCGGAGCTGAGTCCCAGACTGAAGAAGAAATAGAGGCGGTGTGTGTGGGGGTGTCGGAGTGAAGGCTGGAGCCGGGTGCCAAGAAGGCTGCAGGAGAGGCGCAATGAGCTCGGGGCGGGCGGGAGGAGATGGGAGGCCGAGCCGCAGTCTCCTGGGGCGGGGCTCCCACAGGCTCCACCCTGCCGCCTGCCAACGCGCTAGGTGTGCGGGGGTGGGGGTGGGCAGCGCAGTCAGGTAATTAGGGGCACCAAGCCTCGCAACCCGAAAGCCGGGGTGGAGGGGGAGGTAGGCCCACCAATGAGGACGCCCCGATTTCAGCACCGAGTAGAGGACAGCACCCACGAGGGAAACCCGAAAAACCCTTCCCCCAAGCCCCTCGGTTTGAATCCGAAACCGGATTCGTCTACTGTGTGGGTGGGAAAGGGTCACATTGCCCAAGCTGTTCTAAACTTCTGGCTCGTGCCCAGCAACCCCTCCATCTCTCTAGGGGCGGTGGCCCCCGGGGACAACAGAGGAACAGAGAGAGGCGAGGAAGACAGGGAGACGGCAGCGAGCTGGAGGAGCGCTGTCTGCCTCAAGGTCACCTTTTCCTTAGAATCAGGAAGAGGGCCGAGGTGCCTCACCTGCGCTCTCCCAGCAAGCTTGAGGAAGGAGTCCCTGAAAGCATACAGGGAAACGCTCCTACCCTATCTTGTCCTGTGACCTCCGCCCCCCGTGTTGCCCCCAAATCTGGAGCCCTGCTATTTTTCTGTAGCCCTCGCCCCCCCTCCCCCCATTTCTCAGGCTCCCGGGCTTCTGTTTGCTGCTCCCACCCTCTTCCTCGCCCCTACTTCACCTCTTCACTTCTCTTCCTCTTCTCCAGGCTCAGCAAAGCCTGCTGCTGCCAGGGCTCCCTGAGTCCTTTTGGGGGGGTTACCTACCTGCCTGCTGGGCTGGGCCGCCTGGGCGTGGGGATGGGGTTGGGCCAGGAATTGTGTGTTTCCTTTTCCTCCTCTCCTCTTTATTCCCTCTGTGCAGCTCCCAGTTCCTGGACTGGAAGGGGAATGTAAAATGAGGCAAAGGGTGTGGTAAGACGACTGGGTGTGGAAAGGAACAGGCAGGCACAGGTCTCCAGGTACCCCTTATGCTTCCTCTCTCTCTCTTTAATGCTGTCTAATCCCCAGCGCAGAGGCCAACGGTGTTCAAGGGCGGCAGGGCATCAGGGAATCTCCCCCGCCCACTCCCTGGCCCTCTTCTCTGTCTCTTCTTGAAATGTACATTGAGATCTCAGGTTTTGTTTTCCATTGGACTTTTGTCCTTTTGTCTCCTCACTCAGCTGTCCTACTGCCCCTACAAGATGGTGAGGTTCTTGTGTTTTAGGAGAGAGCATTTGGGAGAAGAGAAATATGCTTTACCTTGCTTTCTGGCCCATCTCATGAGATTCCAGGAGCACTCTTGTGTTCTTTCTACCTTCCTCATCCATAGAAGGCATCCACCCCCTTTTGAGCTCTTTTTTTTTTTTTTCTTTCCTTGTGATAGGAAAGTAATTATAACGGGGGCAGTGCAATGGCTCAACTGGCTAATCTTCTACCTCCAAGTGACAGCATCCAATATGGGTGCTGTGGTTCATGTCCCAGCTGCTTCACTTCCAATCTGGTTTCCTGCTGTGACCTGGGAAAACAGTGAAATCTGGCCACATTCTTGGGACCCTGCACCTGCGCTGGGAGACCCAGAAGAAGCACCTGGCTTTGGATCTGTTTGGCTCTAACTATTGTGGTCACTTGGGGGAGTGAACCAGCAGATGAAATATCTTTCTCTCTGTCTCTCCTTCTCTCTGTAAATCTGCTTTTCCAATGAAAATAAATACATCTAAAAAAAAAGTAATTATCAGATACCTGGCAGATTTCTGCAGATGGAGAATGGTTTCCCTTGAAGAGACAGAAAAATGCTACCTGTGCAGCAGGAGCTTATTACCTAGGAGAAGTTAGTAGCTGTGAGTAAGGAAATATAATTACCTGGAATGGGTGCGTATTTACCCAGGTAAAGGAGCGAGATAATCTTCCAGAGCACTGGGTTGTTATTTGATTGAGAAGATGGTTGCCAAGTTTAAGGAGATAGGGGATGGGAAGAAGAATTACAGAAAGAGAAGAAAAGCAGTCAGAGGAATACAGATGTTACTCCTTTGGAGAGTAGTTGCTCACATTTGAACAACTCCACTGAGAAAACATGTGGATTTGTGTACTTATTCCTTGTGAACCGCTGGCAGGCACACAATGTAGTAATGGTTTCTTTGTGTTTAAATATTCTTATATATATTTATTTGAAAGCCAGAGTGACAGAGATAGGGAGAGACAAAGAGAGGAAAGGGAGCGAGCTGGAAAGACTCTTCCATCCGCTGGCTTGCTCTCCAAAAGCCCAGCACAGCATCCGGATCTCCCATGCAGATGGCAGGAGCCAAGGCACCTCGGCCATCTTCTGCCCTGCCAGGTGCAAGAACAGGGAGCTGGGTCAGAAGCAAAGCGGCCAGGACTCACAGCAGCACTGCATACAGTCACAACACTGCCCCCAATACTCACTTTGACAATACTGTTCTAGGAGCGAGTGCTGTGGTGCAGGGGATGAAGCTGCTGCTTGTGACACTGACACCTGGACAGGCAATAACAGATGGCCCAAGTGCTTGGGACCCTGCCTCCCAAAGGGGAGATCTGGACAGAGGTCTTTGTTCCTGACTTCAGCTTAGTTCAGATACAGCTGTTGTGTCCATTGGGGGGAATAAATCAATAAGTAGATTTTCTCTCTCCTTCTTTCTCTCTCTACTGTTGCTGCTGCTCTGCCTTTCAAATAAATAAATATCTTACAAATTGTTCAATACCTTATAGGAAGTGATTATATGTGCTATTTGATTCATTTAATAATAGTTGTCAATGATAGTTGATATTTTAAGACAGTTTACAGTGGGCCTGGCACAGTAGCCTAGTGGCTAAAGTCCTCACCTTGCATGTGCTAGACTTTCATTTGGGCACTGGTTCTTATCTTGGCGGCCCCACTTTCCATCTGGTTTCCTGCTTGTGACCTGGGAAAACAGTTGAGGACGGCCCAAAGTCTTGGGATCCTGTACCCTCATGGGAGACCTGGAGGAAGCTTCTGGCTTCAAAAAGTGTTATTTATTTTCCATTGGAAAGGTAGATATATAGAGAGGAGGAGAGACAGAGAGGAATATCCTCTGTCCAATGATTCACTCCCCAAGTGGCCACAATGGCCAGAGCTAAGTTGATCTGAAGCCAGGAGCCCAGAACCTCTTCCAGGTCTCCCACGTGGGTGCAGGGTTCCAAGGCTTTGGATCATCCTCGACTGCTTTCCCAGGCCACAAGCAGGGAGATGGATAGGAAGCGGGGCTGCTGGGATTAGAACCAGGGCCCTTATGGGATCCTGGGGTGCTTAAGGTGAGGACTTTAGCCACTAGGCCATGGTGCGGGACCCAAGAAGTCCATTTTTAAAAAGCAATTTACAGGGCCCGGCGCGGTGGCGCAAGTGGTTAAAGGTCCTCGCCTTGCACGCCCAGGATCCCATATGGGCGCCGGTTCTAATCCCGGCAGCCCCGCTTCCCTTCCAGCTCCCTGCCTGTGGCCTGGGAAAAGCAGTCGAGGACGGCCCAAAGCTTTGGGAACCTGCACCCGCGTGGGAGACCCAGAAGAGGCTCCTGGCTTCGGATCGGCATAGTATCGGCCTGTTGTGCTCACTTGGGGAGTGAATCATCGGACGGACGGAAGATCTTCCTCTCTGTCTCTCCTCTCTGTACATCCGCCTTTCCAATAAAAAAATAATAAAAATAAAATCTTTAAAAAAAAAAGCAATTTACAGTATGGAACGTCTACATGTTTTATTTTGTTCAGTTGAATTAGATTTTTTCAGTGGATGATTGAAGATAGACCCTACCTTTTTAGGGTGATGGTGACAACAAGAAAAGTTCAATGCCTAGAATGTGCTATCGTTTTAAGGGTTAGAGTGGTGGAGGGGGCATAACAACGCATGATCTAGGGAGCCTGTCTTACCAGTCAGTACAGCGAGGCACCTGATAGAAAAAGGGGGAAGATCATTAAGGTTGCTGAGAAGAAACAAGGACCTTGGAACTGTGAGGCTGCAAGGACAATAATCTTATCTACCTAAGGAACATGCTTGCACGTAATCAGTACCCTCAAAACTGGATTTTTAATCACTACATTCTTACGGATGAGAAGTTAATGACTTGCCCAAGGCCCCACAGATATTAAAGGTTAAGCCAGCATTCAGATCCAGGGCTGTCTAGTTCCAAGTCTGGAGGGCAAAGGAAAAACATGGTGGGGAGGAATCACTTGCCCAGTCTTGCACGCCCATCGTTTTCTCCTCTGTCAGTGAGGTCTCTCTCTTCCCTCCCATAACTATTTTCGTCCGCTCCTCTGTTTACATTGTGGTCTCTAGTGTCCCATCTTTTTTTTTTTTTTAATGTTTTTTTCCCCCATCACTGCTTTTTACATGTTAACATTTTGGATCGACTTTATTGGATCTCTGTGTATATCAGAGCCCTAGTTTGTCTTGCAAAGCAAATAGGAGGCGATGACACAAACTTGGCTTTTTCCTCGGCATCTCGCTTTCTGTCCCTGTAGATGTGCAAGCATCTGTTCGGTGGCGACGCAGTGAGAAATCCTCGGAGGAAAGGAGGTGGTGGTGGTGGGGGGGGAGCATCAGGTTGCAGTCCCTCCCAGGGCCACTAGGGACCACCCTCCTCCACACAGAAGCGCCGGCCAACGCAGCCTGACTCTGCTGCCGGTGCGCGCCCTCTGCTGATTGGCGGCGCCGCCAAGGCAGTCGCGCTTGGATTGGGCCGCTGTCAGGTGTCGCTGCCGGCAGGTTCGGCTGCGCGCGCGCGGAGGGAGGAGGGTGAGTGCGGGCCGGGGGCGGCGGGGGAGTGGCTGTGGAGGGGCCGGGGGGCGGAATCCCCGGCGGGTGGGCTCGGTGCGTGCCGAGCTCCGGCAGCCGCACGCGGGCGGCCGCCTTCCGACAGAGGCCGGCGGAGAGGCCGCGAGGCGGGCAAAGGCTAGTGGAGTCGGGATGGAGGGCGGCGGTGTTCGTGACCCGGAGCTGCGTGAGGAGAGGACACTGGCGCTGGTCAGCGGGAGGACAGCCGGGTGTGTAAGGGCTGTGGGGGGGATACCAGCCGAGGAAGCGAGTTGGTGGGACGTGCGGGTGGTCCTGCCTGAGGATGGAGTCCTCAGGGGCGCGGGTCTCGGAGGGAGCGAGCGGGGTCCGCGAGGAGGGCTCCGCGCGAGAGGCGTGGGGGGCGCGGGGGGCGCGAGGGGACGAGGCTGGGCTGGAGGAGGAGGCACTGCCGGCGGTCCCTGTGGAGGGAGCCTTAGCTGTTGCCAAGTGTGGTGACTCAGGGGAGGGTTTGAAGGACTGTGCAAGAGTGGGGGATCGGTGAGTAGGAGGATTACTTGGATTAATTGGATTAGTTGACCGGTGTTGGCTGGGGTGGGCAGTCAGTGCCGAGAGTGGTTAGGGAAGTTGGTGACGAGTCGTTATGGCAGGCAGTAGGAACTAGTTGATCAGTGTCAGAACGGGACTAGGTGTGCAGGATTAAAATTTGCATTAAGGAGGAAGTGGGGTGGGAGTGGAGGTGTGTGGGCGTGGGGGAGGGGGATGTCCGCCGTGGAAGGTGGGAAGAGAAAGTGTTTGTGCTGGCCGTGTTAGAAATATCCCTGACTGAAATTTGTGCGGATTTTCCACTTGATTCCGGATGTAGCCCTCCAGCAAGCGCAAGGTGCTTTAGGGCGTTAGGGTACCACGCACGCAGCTCTAACTTCCAAGGCATATAGGAGTAGAGTGCTTTACGTTCCCTTCCGCCTCTTCTCCAGGTTCCAGTTAACGGAGATGTTCCTGTCAGTCGGCCTCCCTGCTTAGTCTTCCATCTGTTCCTCCTTTCCTTCCTTCTTCCTTCCTTCCTTGCTGCTTCAGGCCGGAGGAAGGCTGCTGCCCTTTAACCCAGTATTAAGTCTGAAGTTTTCTTTTGCAATGAAGTTTGGGAAGAGAACATAGGCTCTGGAAACAGTACATTAACCCCCAGCTTCTCCCAGAGGTGCGCCTAAATAAGTCGTGGCGTGGTTCGTAGCTATTTCTGTCAGGCTTCTATTTCTGCTTTGTTAACCGTGAATTTAGACCTTTTAAAATGTCTCTTTAGCCTCGTATTGGTGAACAGGTTCTTCTTCCCGTTTTCTGTTGTTTACCCTGTTTTGTTACAAAATTTCAAGAACATGACTGCCTTCAGCTGGTAACAAGGAGTTAGAAGAAAAGGACAGTGAGCTCAGAGTCAGAGATAGGAGAGAAAGCTCCTGCTTCCCAGAATAGATAAAAGAATGTCATAAAATTCTAATTGCTTGAATGAAAACAGGAACTTGGGACTGCCACAAGTCTTGGAAATTGGGTCAGATCTCTAAAAAGGAAATCAAAGGAAAAGCTTGTGAGTCAGGAGAGGGAGTGTATATATGAGACTGGAGGGCCCCCGTGAAGTGTTGAACCTAGAGAATGTTGTGCCATGTGCTGGTTGAGCAATAGAGACACAGGCGGGCAAGACTGGAAAGGTTGTGGTTTATATAAAGGTCACCTGTAACTTACTTTCTCACCAAAGCTGGTAATGGAAGCGTCGAAACATAGATGGTGTAATTATCGAAGAGTTCTTAAGAAGTCCGTAAGACTAAATTAAATTAATTGCTTACTTCAGGAGTTTGTGGCTTTTGTCAGAGTCATCTGTCAGTGTTTCTGGGAACTTTTGGAGACCATGGAAAATCGCTGATGTGTGACTCAATTTTATTTTTGGAAAATAATAACAGATACTGTGTCCTTAACAATTCCCTCTGAATAAATGGTAACCTTTAGCATATTTGCCTCAGATCTTTTAAAAAATCGAAGTGAACATAGACAAAGTTGTAAAGTGCCCGGGGATCTTCAGTTCTACTCTTCTTTCTCCTCAAAAGCAGCCACTGTCGGGAATCTGATGATTTTCTAATTCGTATTTTTATACTTGAATTGTTTGCACTGCCCTGAATTTTTTTTTTTTAATTATACAAGTACAGATGAATTTTTACCAAGTATGTATTTCTGCAGTTTCTGTTTGGAAACTGTTGATGCTGTATCACTATGATTCTTTTAAAAATTGCGATTAGTCTGTCATATCAATATACTGCATCATATTTATCCATCCTTCTTCTCATGAGTTGCTTTGAGTTTTTTCCCATTGTCCACAGCAAGGTTAAAGTTAAGAATATCCTTCCTCCTATCTTCTGATGGAGGGGAGGCCCTCCACCTTGGCACTGTTTTGGCAGGATAATTCTTTGTTGTAGCAGAATACCCTAGACTTTTTAAGAATTCTTTTAAAGATTTGTTTAGTTTATTGGGAAGGCAAATTTACAGAGAGAACGAGAGAGAGAATGATCTTCACCTGCTGATTCACTTCCCAAATGGTTCAACTCCCCAGAGCTGAGCTGATCTGAAACTGGGAATCAGAGCCTCTACTGGGTCTTCTATGCTGGTGTAGGGTGTCATGGCTTTGGGCCATTCTCAACTGCTTTCCCAGAACACAAGCAGGGAGCTGGAAGGGAAGTGGAGCAGCTAGGACATGAACTGGTGCTCATATAGGATTTCAGCACCCTAGGATGGAGGATTAGGTTGTTGAGCTATGGGGCAGCCCCCAGCATGGTAGAATGTTTGACGGCATTGCTACCCTTGATTCAGTAGATGCCAATAGTACCTTTCTTGTTAGGATAACCAAAAATATGTCTTGCTCAATGTCCTGTATGCATCAAAATTGCAACTGGTTGAAAACCACTACTTAAAAAAAGAAAAAAGAAAAAGAAAGAAATAAAAAAATAGAACAACAACCAAAACAAAACAAAAAAAGAAAACCACTACTCTGTTTGAATGTAGATGTGGAATTCCCAGCTTGTTTTGATTCAAGCTAAAGTCTTAAAATATTTTTTAACTGATATGGCTTGTTCTTTTTTTAAAGATTTTATTTTTTTTATTGGAAAGTCATATATACAAAGAGGAGGAGAGACAGAGAGGAAGAGCTTCCATCTGTTGAGTCACTCCCCAAGTGGCCCTAATGGCCAGAGCTAAGCTGACCTGAAACCAGGAGCCCAGAGCCTCTTCCACCAGTTCTCCCACACAGGTGCAGGGTCCCAAAGCTTTGGGCTGTCATCTACTGTTTTCCCAGGCCACAAGTAGAGAGTTGGATTGTATGCGGGGCCGCTGGGATTAGAACTGGTGCCTATATTGGATCCCAGCAATATAAGGCAAGAACTTTGGCTGCTAGGTTACTACGCTGGACCCAGCTTTTACTTTTTAAAACATATCTATTTTATTGGAAAGGTGAATTTATAGAGAGAAGATACAGAGGGAAAGACTCTCCATCTGCTGATTCAATCCCCAAGTGGCCACAGTGGCCAGAGCTGAGCTGATCTGAAGGTAGGAGCCCCTTCTGGGTCTCCCACATGGGTACAGGTTTGCAAGATTTTGGACCATCCTTGATTGCTTTCCCAGGCCACAACCAGGGAGCTGGAAGGGAAGTTGAGAAGCTGGGACATGAACCAGTATCCATATGGGATCCTGGCACATGTAAGGCAAGGATTTAGTTACTAGGCTGTTGTGCCAGGCCCCTAACCGATACGACTTTAAGCACAATTTCCGCTCCTTCACCCCTCTATAAGTTGCTGGTGCGAAGGACCTTGGCCCAGTCTTGCACTGGTTATATAGTACCAAGAACAGTAGAGAGAACGTTGAGGTTGCAGTCACAAAGTGGACTGGAGACTGGTGCAGGAAATGCCTTTAGCCTCAAGTTCCCAATCACAGCAACACACTGTTAGCGTGAACAGATCTCCTGAACACGGGCATCTGTCTTTCAGGGTAGAATGGGTGAAGGAGAGCAAGCACAGGAATAATGCTTGAAACACACAGTACCCTCCATACATGTTGAGTTAGTTAATTTTTGGTGGGGGTGAAGATGACGTTTAAAGGAAAAGCAGCTGAGCTATCTCATTGCTGTGTCCTTGAATTAAAGCCTTGATTTTAGCACTGCTGTGGGGAGGCAGAGAAGGGCTAGGAACATTGTGAAATGAATCCAAGATTGAAATGTCACTCTACCCTTCTCCTTGTAGGAACCAACAGTAGCTCTCACTTGAAGAACTGCTTTTCCGGTTTGCTGCCTGGAGTTAACATTGTTTCTTGCTGACAGGATCAGGGCCATGCCAGCACTGTAAGGCTTGATCTCCTGATTACCACTTTCTTGGTTTGGGTGGGATGATCAGACTCCCCTAGTACTTTTATCATTCCCTCTTGTTCCCCCCCCCCATCCTTACTGCTAAGGGGTTTGGTTTCTTTGCTGATGAGTTATCCCTTTCTACAGAACGGGATGAGTGGGCACTCCATTGGGGATGTGGTCATTGATGGCCAATGAAGGCGAGAGCACCACGGCCCATTTCTTCCTTGGATCTGGAGATGAGGGGCTGGGCACCCGCCGAGTAGGCATGAGGCCAGAAGAGAGCGTCAGTGAGCTCCTTGAGGATGAGGAGGATGAAGTGGTAAGATCAGGGAAAGGAATGTCATTTGTTGGGGACCCTGGTTACACGCAGTTGGGGCTTCACAGCATAGACATACCTCTAAGTTCTTTCCCGATGTGTAGACTTCCTGTCAAAAATTACTCATTATCCTGGCTTAGGGGATGAACAATAGAGATTGTTTAGACTACCACTCCTTGAACCCTAGCCCTTATGCCCTGCTACTTGTTTTCTCATAGGGCCTGGTTTCCTGGCTTTTCTGCTTGAGCACATGTTTTCTGCTGTGGCAAGGTTCCTGTGTAGGTAGTAGAATCCATAGATGTGCCCTACCCTAGATCATTATTAGGAAGTATCTAGTACTCAATAGATCCAGGTTGTGATAAGAAGCTGCACTCCAAGGAGATGATACAAAGTGTACTGACCTGGGAGACGTGGGTAGGGGAGTTCCTCAGTTCTGATAGCATTTCTGCTCTGTAGCCTCCTGAACCTCAGATCATCGTCGGCATCTGTGCCATGACCAAGAAATCCAAGTCCAAGCCCATGACCCAAATCCTGGAGCGACTCTGCCGATTTGACTACCTGACAGTTATCATCCTGGGAGAAGACGTGATTCTCAATGAACCTGTGGAAAACTGGCCATCCTGCCACTGCCTCATCTCTTTCCACTCCAAAGGTTGGGGTCTGGGCCAGAAAAGAGGAAGGGATGGTGGTAGGAATGCTGGATTAGAAAATGAGGTTCTTAACTCTCCTACTTGCTTAGCTAAGAGGCCATCGGTGCCTTCTAATACTCCAGGGAATAGTACCCAGGAGTTTGCTCTCCCGAATCTTGTACGAGTTGCCTATGATGAGTTCAAAGCCACATCCTGTTGTCAGGACAGCTGTTTGCTTAGTAGACTCTCTGATGGAATTGATTCTCTGGAAGGACCCTAAAAAATAAGTTCTTTTACTTCTTCCTGATTAATGTCCTGGACTTGGAAAGCTGGGCAGAAGGGTATTTGATGGGTTGGATGGGGAGGGGAGTTCAGTGGCAGCTTTAGGAAGTCTACCTCTCTCACTGATTCCCCACTATATCTTTTTCACTCTGTTTCTCTGATCTGTTTCCTTTCTCCATCCCAGGCTTTCCTCTGGACAAAGCTGTTGCTTACTCCAAGCTCCGAAACCCCTTTCTTATCAATGATTTGGCCATGCAGTATTACATCCAAGATAGGTATAGCTTTCTGTTGACCAGGGGGATGGGTGGCGCTGAGATTATGCCTATTGAGGAAATATATTCTGGGAGGGGCTGAGTCAAACAGTGCACTTAATTTTTGTGCTGTTCCCTACCAAGTTGTCTGTGCCAATGTCTTCTGATCTCTGTACAAATGAACTCCTTAGCTTCTCCCCTTAGTCACCCCTTCCCCACCTCTCCCAGCTAATGTATTTGGGGGTGACAGGAGGGAGGTGTACCGGATCCTGCAAGAGGAGGGTATTGATCTGCCTCGCTATGCTGTGCTCAACCGTGACCCCGCCCATCCTGAGGGTGAGTATCTGGCTTTGTCCAGTGGGCTCTGCCTTGTTCTCCATGGATGAACCCGTCTTGAGGACACCATGTACTACCTATCTAAGCAGGGCTTTGTTTGTTGGATTATGGGACAGATTAGACTCTGTCTTTGGACAGAGTCTTGAAACTGTTATTAGGCTACTTCAAACAGCTTGTGTAAATAGGATTAAATGGTTAGTTTATTTTGGCATAAAAAGAGTTTATTTGAAAAACCATGGGATTGACCCGGCGTGATGGCTCAGTAGCTAATATCCTTATCTTGCATTGGCCAGGATACTGTATAGGTGCTGGTTCATGTTCCAGTTTCTCCACTTCCCTTCCAGCTCCCTGCTTGTGGCCTGGGAAGACAGTGGAGGACGGCCCAAAGCCTTAGGAATCTGAACCTGCATGGGAGACCCAGAAAATGCTCCTAACTCCTGGCTTTGGATTGGTTCATCTCCAGCTGTTGTGGCCTCTTGGGTAGTGAACAAGTGGATGGAAGCTTGTCTGTCTTTCCTTTCTGTCTCTCCTTCTCTCTCTAAAACTGCCTTTTCAATAAAAATAACATAAGTCTTTGAAAAAAAGACCACAGGATCTTCTATAAGATTATGAAAATGTATGCTATGAAAAAATCATGCAGGTTTAAAATTTTTTGCACCAGATTTATTTTTTTTCTTTTTTTATTTTGATTGAGAGAGACGAAGAGAGTTCCCATTCTCTGGTTCATTCCCCAAATGCGTGCAACAGCCGGGACAGGTTGAGACTGAAGCCAGAAACCTAGAATATAAGCCAGTGGTGACAGGAACCCCAAATACTTGAACCATCACCTGCTGCCTCCCAGGAGTTGCATTGACAGACGACTAGAATTGGGAGCCAAGATATGGAAATCTGAATTTATCTTTTAATTGCATTTTCATGAACTTTTTAAAGTATCTTCATATATAGATAATATCACTTGCAAGTATATACCATGTATAGATATTTTCATATCTGTTGTAATGGTATGTCACAAAAGCTTGAGGACTGTGGAAATTAAGACCCAGGGAAATGGGAGTTGGGAAGATTGATTTGCCTTGGACCCTGGGAATGACCACAGACCCGCCTTTCAGAGTGCAACCTGATAGAAGGTGAAGACCAAGTAGAGGTCAACGGAGCTGTCTTTCCCAAGCCCTTTGTGGAGAAGCCAGTGAGCGCAGAGGACCACAATGTTTACATCTACTACCCCAGCTCAGCTGGAGGAGGAAGCCAGCGGCTCTTCCGTAAGGTGCAGGGAAACTTTGGAGCACCTGGGGGAGTCAGAAGGGTATAAGGGCAAGGATGAGATTGTTGGGAAAGAAACTAGAGAATTTGGGGGGGAAGCAATAAGATTGATGCAACGTTTTTCTCTTTTTCCTTTTCCCTCCTGAAGATTGGCAGCCGAAGCAGTGTCTATTCTCCTGAAAGCAGCGTCCGGAAGACAGGGTCATACATTTATGAGGAGTTCATGCCGACAGATGGCACAGATGTCAAGGTTATGGTGGATTCAGGGATTAAGAGGTTGCAAATGCCTGGGTGGTGGGGCTGGGGTGCTTGGCAAGCAGGTGGAAGTGTCTGGAGAGGAGCCTAGAAAATCGGATGAGTATGTATGAGACTGGCTCTCATATTTGGGTTATGATAACAAGGAGAGGATGTAGACATTGGCATTCTTATGCTCGGAGCAAAGGACAAGGGGGTGACATGGACATGCTACGGTGGAAATTGTCTCTTAATTAGGAAGCCCCAAGAAAGCCTTCATCATGGCACTGCAGTGGGGCACCATAAAAAAAAATGTCAGAGTCCTGATTCTTAACAATCAGGGTTTTATTTATTCTGACACCAGTCTACAGACCTAGTGCTTATGTTGTCTTCTTGTATACAGGGTGCGCTGTGGGCATACTCAGTGATGCTATGTACCTGCAGGTGTATACCGTGGGGCCTGACTATGCCCATGCTGAAGCTAGGAAATCTCCAGCTTTGGATGGGAAGGTTGAACGAGACAGTGAGGGGAAGGAGATTCGATACCCAGTCATGCTGACTGCCATGGAAAAGCTGGTGGCCAGGAAGGTCTGTGTAGCTTTTAAGGTAAGTAAATTCCCATGGGAAGCTGTAGAATGAGGGACAGAGACAGGAATGGGGTTGTGGGAAGAAAGAATGGATACCTTATTCTTATCTTGCATCTTCATTCTGCTGTAGCAAACAGTTTGTGGATTTGATCTTCTTCGTGCTAATGGTCACTCCTTTGTGTGTGATGTCAATGGCTTCAGTTTCGTCAAGAACTCAATGAAATACTATGATGACTGTGCCAAGATTTTAGGGTAAGAGACATAGTCATCTGAGCTGCTGGAGAGTGGGCCTGGAGCAAATGGTTAGAAAGTATTTATTTTAAACATTGTAACAATGATTTGAAAGTGGAAAAGAAAAAAAGAAAGTGCTTATTCCCTTTGCCTTCTCAGCATCACAAACCCCAGAGATAATTACTGCTAACAGTTTTAGACATAACAGTGTCTTTTTCTGCCTTGTACAAATAAACTATAATTACTTTACTAAATGGGCTCATTGCTATAATGCTGGTCTGCAACTTGACTTAAAAAGATGATCATGTTGACAGCAGATATAGCCTAGTGGTTTAGACACCCCTGTCCATAAGGTTTGATACCTGACTCCAGCTCCTGCACCAGCTTCCTGCTAATACAGACTCTGGGACCGGTAGTGGTAGTGTGAATGACTGGATTCCTGCAAGCCCTGTGAGAGACGTGGATTGAATTCTCAGCTCCTGGCTTTGGCCCTGGCCCAGTCCCACTCATTCTGGGCGTTTGGGAAGTAACCGGTAGATGGGGAGTTTATTCTCCCTCCCTCCCTTTTCTTCCTCTCCCTTTCTGTCAAGTAAGTAAATGGAAAAAAAAATATGAAGCAACTTAAAATGTTTAATTCATTCAAAACATGTAAGGAATGCTGACTCTGGTGTGCATCCATATATTTATCCCCTAGCTTAAGAAATAAAACATTTAGGGCTTAGTGTGATAGCCTACTGGATACATTCTTGCCTTCCATTTGTTGGGATCCTATATGGGCGCTGGTTCATATCCCAGCTGCTCCACTTCTCATCCAGCTCCCTGATTGTGCCTTGGGAAAGCAGTAGAGGATGGCTCAAACTCTTGGGACCCTGCACCTGTGTGGGAGACCTGGAAGAATCTCTGGCTCTTGGCTTCAGATTGGCTCCGGCTATTAGAACCACTTGGGGTGTGTATCTGTGGATGGAAGATCTCTCTATATATATATATCTTCTCCTCGGCCTTTCCAATAAAAATTAAGTCTTTTAAAATAGTATATTAATTTTTTTGGTAGTAGCAGCTCACACTACACTCCCTCAGCCACTGCCCCACATGGCTGAAGTTAGGTTTTATTTATTTATTTATTAAGATTTACTTATTTTAATATGAAGTTTAAAAAAACAAGCAAAAAAGATTTACTTATTTGTATTGGAAAGGCAGAAAGATCCTCTGTTCAATGGATATTCCCAAAATATCTGCAATGGCTGAAGTTGAGCTCATCTAAAGCCAGGAGCCAGGAGCTTCTTCCAGGTCCCCCACGTGGGTGCAAGGTTCCAAGGTTTTGGGCCATCTTCTGCTTCATTCCTAGGCCACAAGCAGGGAGCTGGATGAGAAGTGGAGCAGCTGGGACACAAACCACCACCCATATGGGATCTTTGTGCTTGCAAAGGGAAGATTAACTAATTGAGCCATTACACCAGTCCTAAGAAATAAAATATTAAGAATGTAGTTGAAATGCTTATATAGGGCCCAGTGCAGTATCCTAGTGGCTGAAGTCCTCGCCTTGCCACCTTTGGGATCCTATATGGGCACTGGTTCGTATCCTGGCTGCTCTACTTCCCTTCCAGTTCCCTGCTTGTGGCCTAGGAAAGCAGTAGAGGACAGCGCAAAGACTTGGGACCTGTACGCATGTGGGAGACATGGAGGAAGCGCTTGGCTCCTGGCTTTGGATCAGTTGCGGCCACTTGGGGAGTAAACCAGTGGAAGGAAGATTTTTCTCTCTGTCTATAAATTGACTTTCCAAATAAAAAATAAAATAAATCTTAAAAAAAGAAGTGCTTGTATATTCCCTTCTGGTTATTGTAGCTTTTGCCTCACCCAGAGGGAATCACGATCCTGAATTTGATGGTATGTTTTTAATCTTTTTTCTGCAGCTTATTTTGTGTGTGTGTATCTTTTTTTTGGTATAGTCCTGGTTTGTTCATTCCTGTATTTTTCATTTTGTTTTCCTTAGGAACACCATAATGCGGGAGCTTGCCCCACAGTTTCAGATCCCATGGTCCATCCCCACAGAGGCCGAGGACATTCCCATTGTCCCTACCACATCTGGCACTATGTAAGCAATAAGTAAAAAATCTGGAGTAACCTCCTTCAGACACTAGACACTTGGAATTCCTTCTACCAGACCAGTGGTTTCTTGGCCTTGCACTGTGTAGTGGAGCCTGAGCCTCTTCTAGGTTATGTTCTTGGCTCTTCCTGTGTTCCTAATCTCAGATCCCTTTTTCTGTGTCCATCTACCTGTTAAGTAGGATGTAATAATGGGAGTTGGGGTTCTGATAACATTCCCAATCTTAGGATGGAACTCCGTTGTGTTATTGCAATTATCCGTCACGGGGATCGTACTCCCAAGCAGAAGATGAAGATGGAGGTGACACACCCAAGGTAGGACAAGTGCTCTAACACAGTCAGCTTTCTGTGAGCCAGATGGGTGGGCGGAGCCCCTAGAGTCTTTGATCATCACACTGCGCACTGAAACTCCTTCTTACTGCTTCAGGTTTTTCACTCTGTTCGAAAAACATGGTGGATACAAGACAGGGAAATTAAAACTCAAGAGACCCGAGCAGCTTCAGGTAATGGAGAGAATAGTTCCCTGAAGATGATAGAAGTGCGGGATTAGGGCTTTGATGAGAGACTAGAATGAAAGGATGACTGGGCATTTATTGTGGTTACCTTGTTGTTATTTCCTCTAGGAGGTGCTGGACATCACAAGGCTGCTGTTGGCTGAACTGGAGAAAGAACCAGGTGGTGAGATCGAGGAGAAGACTGGGAAACTAGAACAGCTGAAGTCTGTGTTGGAGATGTGAGAAAAGGGATAACAAAAGGGGCTGACAACCGTAATAACTGTGAGAAGTTGAGGTGCTGGAGCAAACCCTAATCCTAACTCTGTTCTGCAGGTATGGTCACTTCTCAGGTATCAACAGGAAGGTGCAGCTGACGTATTACCCACATGGAGTAAAAGCTTCTAATGAGGGGCAAGGTGAGATGCAACCTCTCTTTCCATCACCACTCAATTCTTTTATTCTTGAACCTGAGGATGGCTTCTGCCCAGGATCACCTTTTTGTTCCCTTCAGAGTACCTAGCATTTAGATGATCCCACTGTTCTCCTTAGATCTAGATGTGTTCATATATTCCCTCAGATCCACAGGAGGCGGCTCTGGCCCCGTCTTTACTGCTGGTATTGAAGTGGGGTGGAGAACTGACCCCTGATGGCCGTGTGCAGGCTGAGGAGCTGGGGCGAGCTTTTCGCTGCATGTACCCTGGAGGACAGGGTGAGTATTTTGGAGATGTGACTATCTAACGATACTAGGAGAAGGTGATTGTTGAATAAATTGGAGGATATGAAGGGACAAAGGAATGAAGGGCAGTTATAGGGGAAATGAATGTTCTTTCTGTGATGTAGGTGTTTACAGCAGTCTGTTCCTTTGCCCCTAGGTGACTATGCTGGCTTCCCTGGCTGTGGGCTACTTCGTCTCCACAGTACATTCCGCCATGACCTCAAGATCTATGCCTCCGATGAAGGCCGTGTCCAGATGACCGCTGCTGCCTTTGCCAAGGTGTATACTCCAGTTCTTCCACAGGCCCAGCTTACGTTAGATTGAGAAAGTTTAGAGAACTAGTTGTTTAACTTAAGGGTGTGGAGAAATTTGTTGCTTGTATCTGGTCTGCTCTGTACTCCTGAGAGTGGGCTGAGTGTAATTAACTGGAGAAGACCCCCAGACATAGACCCTAGCTCTTCGGGCCAGCTCCCAGTGGTCTCTGCATCATTTAGGCCTAGGAGGACCAGCCTGGAGAGGAACCTGATGGACTTTGTGCTTGCTCTCCAGGGTCTTTTAGCTCTGGAAGGGGAGCTGACTCCCATTTTGGTGCAAATGGTGAAGAGTGCCAACATGAATGGACTCCTGGACAGCGACGGCGATTCCCTGAGCAGCTGCCAGCACCGGGTGAAAGCTCGGCTGCATCATATTTTGCAGCAGGACACAACCTTTGGCCCTGAGGACTATGATCAGGTCAGGATTTTCTACCTCCGTGCCCCAAACATCTTGAATCCTAAACTCCTAGAACTCTAAACCATAGTGATCAGTAATAGTAGCACTAATTGTGTTTTAGGTATTTTGCGTTCCTTATCTCATTTAACCCTTATAATAACATTTTTTTTTAAGATTTATTTTTATTATTTTTTCATTGGAAAGGCGGATATACAGAGAGGAGAGACAGAGAGGAAGATCTTCTGTCCGATGATTCACTCCCCAAGTGAGCACAACGGGCCGATACTATGCCGATCCGAAGCCAGGAGCCTCTTCCAGGTCTCCCACGCGGGTGCAGGTTCCCAAAGCTTTGGGCCGTCCTCGACTGCTTTCCCAGGCCACAAGCAGGGAGCTGGAAGGGAAGCGGGGCTGCCGGGATTAGAACTGGCGCCCATATGGGATCCCGGGGGTGCAAGGCGAGGACCTTAACCACTTGCGCCACCGCGCCGGGCCCCCTTATAATAACATTTTATAATAAGTACAGCTCCATAATCTTTTTTTTTAAAGATTTACCTATTATTTGTTTTTATTGGAAAGTCAAGTATACAGAGAGAAGGAGAGACAGAGAGGAAGACCTTCCGTCTAATCATTCACTCCCCAAGCGGCCGCAATGGCCAGAGCTGAACTGATGTGAAACCAGGAGCTTCTTGCAGGTCTCCCACGTGGGTGCAGGGTCCCAAGGCTTTGCACTGTCCTCGATTGCTTTCCCAGGCCATAAGCATGGAGCTGGATAGGAAGCTGGGCTGTTGGGACATGAATCAGCGCCCATATAGGGTCCCAGTGCATACAAGCTGAGTATTTTAGCCACAAGGCTACCAAGCCAGGCCCCAGCTTCATAATCTTATCCATGGCTTCAGAAATTAAAGATTTCCAGAGAGTAGCATCAAGATTCGTTTGACAACCACACCTCTTGAACCATGAAGAGTATTTATAATCCTTATTTGCCCCATTTAGTATAAGTAGTCATACATTTTGCTTCTAAATATTGCGTTTAGTTATGCCTTAGGTGCTGCTGGAGGTATTACGTAGCATATGACATGAGCACTGTATTTATGCCCTATAGTCCAAAACACATGTCATCTCATGGACTTTAAATAAAAGTGTGTTTCAGTTATCTGTTAGATAAAAAAAAGTTACTCTAAAACCTAGTAACTTAATGCAATAACTGCTTTATTCTCTCTCAGCACTGGATTTAGCTGGCTTGCTTGGGGTTTCTCCTAAAATTGCAGACAGATGTTTGAGACTGAAACCATCTGGAAGTTTTACTGGGATTCTGAGATGGCTGGCTTCTCCCGCTTCACGTTCTCCCTGTAATCTCAGAGCATCTCCTCTCCACATGTTTTTTTCATGTGGTTTCTGTAGCCTGGAAGCTGGACTTACTAAATGGTAGCTCAAGACTTCCCCAAAGCAGAAGCTTCTAAGCTTTCTTAAAGTCAAGGCCCAGAATGAGCACAATCTAACTTTTATTTTATCTTATTGCATATGTGGCCGTAAAACCAAAGAAGACAAAAAATTAATGACTATCTTTAATCCACTGTGAAAACTGTAGGCTTATACTTTTCTTTCTTCCTTCCTTTCTCTCTTTTTCTCTTCTTTTTTTAAATATTTGTTTACTGATTTGAAAAGCAGAGTTAAAGGAAGAGATCTTCTATCTAGTGGTTCATTCCAGAAATGTGCATAATGGCTAGGCCTGGTCCAGGCAAAACGAGGAGCCAGAAGCCTCTTCTGGGTCTCTTGCATGGGAACAGGGGCCCAAGCACTTGAACCACCATCCTTTGTTGCTTTCCCAGGTGTATTAGCAGGGAGTTGTATGGGAAATGGAGCAGCCAGGACTTGAACCAGCAGCAACATGGGATGCCAGCACTGCAGGTGGTGACTTAATTGGCTGTGCTACAGCCCCAGGCCTTCATTTTTCTCTTATTATACAGATGAGAAAACTTGGGTAGTGCTGAAGAATTTGTCTCTCTCTTTTTTTTTTTTTTTTTTTTTTTAGGACTTACTTATTTTTATTAGAAAGGCAGATTTACAGAGAGAAGGAGATCTTCTTACAGAGAGAAAGATCTTCCATCTGCTGGCTCACTCCCTGAGTGGCCACAATGGCCAGAGCTGAGCCGATCCAAAGCCAGGAACCAGGAGCTTCTTTTGGGTCTCCCACACAGGTGCATGGTCTTACAGCTTTGGATCACCCTGGTCTGCTTTCCCAGGCCACAATCAGGGAGCTGGATGGAAAGTGAAGCAGCCAGGATATGAACTGGCACCCATTGCACTGGGCCTGGTGCTCAAGAATTTTTGCCATTTTCCCAGGGTTATCCAGCTGGTGTGAACCCGGTGAATCTGTGTTCAGAGCTCAGGCTGTTAACCACCACAGTCTGCTGCCTCCTGGCGTTAGTCATAGTAGATACTATTATATTACCCCCGCTGTCATCTTTCTTTGTGTGTGTGTCTAGGCTATGAATGACCAGTGGCAGTGGTTTCCATTATCCTGTGCTCATTTCTGAGAACATGTTCTTTTAAAAATGTTCATGTTTTGGGCCTAGCGTGGTAGCCTAGTGGCTAAAGTCCTAACCTTGCTTGCACCAGAATCCCATATGAGCGCCAGTTCATATCCTTTATGTTCCACTTTCCTTACAGCTCCCTGCCCATGGCCTGGGAAAGCAGTGGGGGATGGCTCAAACTCTGGGACCCTGTGTGGGATCCAGAAGAAGTTCCTGGATCCTGGCTTCAGATCAGCTTAGCTCTGGCCATTGCAGCCACTTGGGGAGTGAACCAGCGGATGGAAGATTTTTCTCTCTGTCTCTCCTTCTCTCTGTAAATCTCCCCTAGCATTTTCCATGTCTGCTTTAGGGGCTTCAAGAGAAAGAACTTAGGGATGTTTTATTCTGTCTGGACTTCAATGCTCTTGTAATTAACCCCGTCATAGATGACTGCAGGAGTAGCCCTTTCAGCTGGAGGCCCTAGAATTACTAGAGGTCTCACTAAGTCCCAGAATGCTTGTTGGAGTTCATCAACAAACAGATCTGTGTGGCAGGAATCTCCTTGTGGGAAACTCAGTAGCAGTCTGGGCCGTTGGCACTGAGTCTGTCTTGCTTGCCATCTCCCCATTCCCCCCATAGCTGGCTCCTACTGGAAGCACTTCCCTGCTCAACTCCATGGCTGTTATCCAAAATCCTGTGAAGGTCTGTGATCAGGTGTTTGCCCTGATTGAAAATCTCACTCACCAGATCCGGGAACGGATGCAGGACCCCAAGTCTGCAGGTGGGTGTGAACACTCTTGTCTTCCCTCCAAGGTCTGTGGTGTCAGTCATTTTCTCAGGCACTCCTGCATCTTGTAAAAGCCTGGGACCAAGCAGCCTCATCCCTCTGGTTCTCCCTCTGAGTCATCAGGGACTTTTTGTTCAAGATGAAATCTGGCTCTGATTTGCTGCCTTCCTTCCAGACCTACAGCTCTACCACAGCGAGACACTAGAGCTTATGCTACAGCGCTGGAGCAAGCTGGAGCGTGACTTTCGACAGAAGAGTGGGCGCTATGATATCAGTAAGATCCCTGACATCTATGACTGTGTCAAGTATGACGTGCAGCACAATGGGAGCCTGGGACTTCAAGGCACAGCAGAGTTACTACGTCTCTCTAAGGCGTTGGCCGATGTGGTCATCCCCCAGGTGTGTCTCATTAAGGGTCTATCCCGGGGATCCAGCATTGAGGAAGAAAGGACAGAAAAGGTAGAAAGAAGAGGTGGTTTGGTAACCAGAGATAGGAATGTTGAAGAAGGAATAGTTGCTACGGTTTGCAAGGTCCGTTCTAATTCTGGTAAGTACAGGAGTAAGTAAGGAGATATGTAGAGAAGGGGATGTGGCAGACTGGTAAGAAACCCTAAACCTGAGGTGAAGATAGGCATGATCTTGGGCCTGGGAGTGTGAGGCAAGATTCACTGAGGTGCTTATTCCTGGCCTATGGCCCCTAGGAGTACGGGATCAGTCGGGAGGAGAAACTGGAAATTGCCGTGGGCTTCTGTCTTCCTCTGTTGCGGAAGATACTACTTGACCTGCAGAGAACCCACGAGGATGAGTCTGTCAACAAGCTGCATCCCCTGTGAGGGAGGGCTGGGCGGGGTGCTGGATGGAGGGAGGGGTGCGTCAGGGAGTCCTGGGGGAATGAAGGCGGGAGGAGGGGGGAACCAAGGCTAGAAGGGCTCTGGGGATGGAAAGGAGAGAAGGAATCTTTGAGGTGGGAGGAGGGAGTTTGGGGACAGGATCTAACCCTGTGAGTGATGGAACTGTTATCTCAGGTACTCCCGAGGAGTGCTCTCCCCAGGCCGCCACGTGCGCACACGTCTCTATTTCACCAGTGAGAGCCACGTCCACTCTCTACTCAGTGTCTTCCGTTATGGGGGACTTCTTGATGTAAGGATCCTCCTTTGTTTAACCTGTGACCATCTCTGGGTATTCTTTTCCTCTCCTCCCCACGCCTCTCTCTTACTGCCAGCTTTCTCTCTTCTTGATGACCTGCCCATTCCCTGTTAACGCCCTTGACCTTGGGCATTGGCTTGCCTTCTTCTGTGTTTGGCAGGAGGCCCAGGATGCCCAATGGCAGCGAGCTCTGGCTTATCTGAGCGCCATCTCAGAACTCAACTACATGACTCAGATTGTTATCATGCTTTATGAAGACAACACTCGGGTGAGGAGCTGACCTTGTAGGGTAAAGAGGGGGCTCCTCTTGTTTACCTCTATTCAGGCAAGCAAAATTTCCTTAGAATTTGTAGAATCTAGCTGGTTGTGACACCTAGACAGGCACAGCATGATCCAGAGGTTCCTTCTGAAACAGAAAATGTGTTCTCTGGCTTGAGGGAGGGTATGGCATTTAGGACAGTGTTATGAGTCTTTATAACCTCCAACATAGTTACAGAGATACCCACTGCATCAGACCCCACAAAGGCTGCTGTGTGTATCATGAACAAAACTGCCCTATTGTGGGAAGTGGATAGGAGGGGTTGTAGAACTGGAATTGTAGACATTATGTGCAGTGGTGAATCACATGCAGTGGGAGGTGAGGGAGTGAGGATCCTAAAGCAAACTGTGGTTAAATGGAAGCTGTGACAGGTCAGATCCAGAATGGATCAAGACACCGAAATCTCAGCCCTGGGAGGGTGTGACCTCGTGAACCCTCTCTGTTGCCACTGCCTGGTCTTCCATCCCCCACATGCAGCTTCTCTTAACTGTCGCTTCTTTTGCTGGTGCCACCTAGGATCCCTTGTCAGAAGAGCGGTTCCACGTGGAGTTACACTTTAGCCCCGGAGTAAAAGGTGTTGAGGAAGAAGGCAGTGCCCCAACTGGCTGTGGCTTCCGTCCCGCCTCCTCCGAGGTGGGTCTCAGAGATGGCATTGGAGGACTGAAAAAGACTTGGGAAACCAAACCGGGAGACAGTATGGGAGATAAAGGGGTTCAGAGGCTGGAGGCTCTAATCCCTCTTCTCTTTGCCTGTGATTGTACAGAATGAGGAAATGAAAACAGACCAAGGTAGCATAGAGAACTTATGCTCAGGCAAATCGTCAGATGAACCAGACCGGGCACTACAGACTTCACCCCAGCCTCCTGAGGGCCCCGGCCTCCCGAGGAGATCGCCCCTCATTCGTAACCGCAAAGCCGGCTCCATGGAGGTAACCAGAGGGGCTTGGGGGAAAGACAAAGGGGCAGAAGTGCTCTTGGGAGCCTTGGTGCCTGCCAGAGGGAGCCTTGGTGCCTGAAGCTGAGTCCTCCTGCTCCATCTTTCTTCCACAGCTGCTTCCTGGATAGAGCTTCTTTAAAGTGGTTGCTGCTTCTGAGATCCATGCATTTCAAGTGAGCGTACCTGAGAAGGAAGGGTGTTAAGACACTGAAGAGGAGGGTCTTGGATGAGTTTGAAAGGGCAGTTTAAAAGAAAAATATTTTTATTTTTATTTGCAAGACAGGTTTATAGAGAGGAGAGACAGAGAGATCTATCCACTGGTTTGTTCCCCAAATGGTCACAGTGGCCAGAACTGGGCTGATCTGAAGCCAAGAACCTGGAGTTTCTTCTGGGTTTCCCCAAGGGTTGGTACAGCCTCTGCTGCTTTCCCTGACTATTAACAGGGAACTGGATTGGAAATAGAGCCAGGATTTGAACCATTGTTCATATGGGATACAACACTGCAGACAGAACCTTAATGTACTACTCCACGCCACTGGCCCCCATGAAAAGGCAATTCTTTTTTAAAAATATTTATTTATTTTTACTTGAGAGGCGGATTTCATAAAGAGAGGAGAGACAGAGAAGGTCTTCCATTTGCTGATTTACTTCCCAAATGGCTGCAATAGCTAGGAGCCTCTTCTGGGTCTCCCACGTGGGTTCAGTGTTCCAAAGACTTAGGCCATACTCTGCTACTTTCTTAGGCCACGAGAAGACAGCTGGGGGCCTGGCACAATGACTTGATTGGCGGATCAAGCACTGAGCTCCTGCATGGGTGCCAGTTCATGTCCTAGCTGCTTCACTTTCTGTCCAGCTACTTGCTTGTGGCCTGGAAGCACCATATGGCAGAGGATTAACCTATGTGCCACCAGGCAAGCCTTAAAAAGGCACTTCTTACAAAGGCAATATAATAGAAACCGCATGAACTGTGGACTAAAATCCCAGCCCAAGGCTTAGAAGTTGAATGATCTTGCCTCAGTAACTTAACCTCTCTGTTTTTCTTCTACCTGTAAAAGTACAGATTATATCCATCTTATAGATACTCCCTAAAAATCATTTTAATAGCAATATAATCTTTATTAAAGACCAAGCCCTCCTTATCTCTTCACTGCATAGGTAAAAATTAAAGCTTAGGCAGGAGCAGATACCTGGTGTCTCCGTCCCTTTAGGGTTATGTATATTTTGTCATTTCAGAAAGGGCATCGAGGTGGTAGGCTGACTGTCCTGCTGTTGTCTCTGTGAGGAGATTAATGTGCCTGAACCTGTATTTTCCTTTTCCTGGAGTCTGTCTTTGGTTCTAGTTCTGCTTCTCTAGTCTAGAGGAAGGAACTGTTAGCTGTCTCACATGTGTTCAGCCAACTATCCTGGGGCTTTTGTTGGGTCTTTCTCCTAGAAAGATTATTTGCTTCTTTTCTCCTGTGACACTGTTTGAATGCATGATTTATCCCTGTCTGATTTGGGTCCTGTTCAGACCCAGTAAATCTGTTTACTTGTCCCTGAACCAGGTCTCTGTCTTAGAGGAATTAGTTTTTCCCGTATCAGCAGTATTTCAGAATAAACTGTAACTAGCTTTTTCAGATTTAGCCAGAGGTTTAAAGTTCAGATTTAGGAGGTTGCCAAGAAGACAAATTACAGTGTCATTTCTGGGCTCCTGTTTACTTTTTTTTTTTTAAAGATTTATTTTTTATTAATTTTTTATTGGAAAGGCGGATATACAGAGAGGAGAGACAGAAAGGAAGATCTTCCGTCCGATGTTTCACTCCCCAAGTGAGTGCAACGGCCGATACTATGCCGATCTGAGGCCAGGAGCCTCTTCCGGGTCTCCCACGCGGGTGCAGGGTCCCAAAGCCTTGGGCTGTCCTTTCCCGGGCCACAGGCAGGGAGCTGGAAGGGAAGCGGGGCTGCCAGGATAGAACCGGCGCCCATATGGGATCCTGGGTGTGCAAGGCGAGGACCTTAACCACTGTGCCACCACACTGGGCCCTCGTTTACTTCTTGATTCCTGTAAGACAGGCTTGACATATTGGCTACCCAGAGTTTCTCTCAGGATACACATTATTTCCTGGTTGAGTTGTAGTTCTAATTTTTAAAAAAGTGTTATTTATTTTTATTGGAAAGTCAGATATACAAAGAAGAAGAGAGAGAATGATCTCCTGTCCATTGATTCACTTCCTAAGTGGCTGCAACAGCTGGAGCCACACCAATCCAAAGCCAGGGGCCTCTTCCGGTTCTCCCAGCGAGTGCAGTGTCCCAAGGCTTTGGGCTGTCCTCGACTGCTTTCCCAGGCCACAAGCAGAGAGCTGGATGGGAAGTGGAGCCACCGGGATTAGAACCAGCACCCATATGGAATCCTGGCGCATGCAAGGCAAGGACTTTAGCTGCTAGGCTACTGCGCTGGCCCCTTTAGGTGTAATTTGATGTTCATAGTGCTCTAATACTTGCAGACTCATAGGAAATAGGTCAAATTGTCAGAGTGGCACATCATTGGCCGTCATTCAGCTGCTCCTCCACATCTGACTGCCTTTGCCCTTTGCTCAGTCTGCTCGTCTGCTGGCACTATTGTGCTTGACTCCTTTTTTTCTTGCTGTGTAGGCATCCAGGAAACAGGCGAAGGACAGGTCTCTGCGTCTTCTCACACTTGAGGAGACTGCCAGTTTTGTTTCAGGACCACAGGAAGCTTTCTGTTGTAATTCACATTTCTTCCTTTCAGTTACTAGTGCTGTCTGGATTCTGGCTTGTTCAGCGTGATGTTGCCATAGAAAGACTGCTTCAGCTTTGCAAGGAGGTCGCTCTGCCTTGTGACCATACAGTCTCATGCTACTCATGCTTCCTCTTCTTGATCTACAAGCATAGGCTTTGGTCATTCTTAATGTTAACCACAATACCCTTTCTCTCCTCAGCAAGACGTATGACCTTCATAGCAGCTGTGTTCTGGCTGGTCATCCTCTCACCCTCTAGCTAGCTGTGCCTTCTAGGCTCTGGTGCCTTTGGGAGCTTGGGGGTTAAAGGATCCATGACTGGCTTTCCACCCGGTATGATTGCAGGTCATGAACATGCAGTGCACGGGGAACCTGGACCTCATTCCCTTGCGGGCACGGCGCCGCCGGAGGTCAGGAGACCTCCCCCGGCCTTCCCCAGCCATCGGCCTACAGCCCCGGGCTGTGTCCACCACTCACCTGGCATCCTGCACACAGGTGTCCCTCGTACCTTGCCTTCCTTTCCTACCTTCTGTCTTTGCCTTTTAGGATCTAGAGACTCAGAACACTTTCTAGAAGGGATGTGTTTATGTTGGGGGTTGTGCAGTTGGGCCCCCATGGGCATTTTAAGAAATCTGTTTTATGTGTTGTCTAGGCTTGACATAGTTGGAGGGAAGGGCTTCTTGGTTTAGATGAGACACGTGGAATGGTTGCCATAGCCACAGCCATCTCATGGAAAGAAGAAAGGGCGGTCAGAGTTTATTTCTTACTTATGGCTGAGCCATTGTGATGAACTTTCTGAATACTGGGGAGGGGTGGGTAAGATCAAGGACTCCTGCTCCCCGAAGAACCAGGATGGCTGGATGGCGATTTCTCAGATCTGGGAACAGATGGCTTGGGAGTGTAAGTGTCTTCTAGGATAGAAGGATTTCCTCCTGAAAAGTACACCCTTCGGTCCCTTTTCACTTTTCTTTACCCATCAAAAACCTTTGGTTCTTTGAAACTTTCCTGACATAACTTGGCTTTACAGGGGCAGGAATTCAGAGTTTGGGTTTAAACTTCTGCATTGGAGGTGTCACATGATAATACAGAGTTCTTTTCTGCAGGTGCTTTCCGAGACTTCATCCTCCAGGCCTGGTGGCTACCGGCTCTTCTCGTCTTCGCGGCCACCAACAGAAATGAAGCAGAGTGGCCTAGGTAAGGTTTTCCAGTGCTTCTCACCTGTTGGTGGAAAGGGTTGTCTGTTTCTCAGAGTTTTGTTGTGGGAAACTTTCATCATGGGTATTGGATCCATGCAATCAGTGAAACCGTCAGATGGCATGGAGGTGGAGGATGAAGGAGGAGAAGCCACAGTTAGGTGTGAGCTTAAATCTCAGATGATTGCTCACATTCCAGGAAGGTGTTGGTTTCTTCATTTTCTGTGCCAACCCCTGTTTCCTGGCTGGAGGGTATTTTTCTGGTTTTCCTTCTCATTCCTTGTCTGTCCCTCCATTACAACCCAGACTTTGACTCTGAAAATGAGACTCTGAGCCTTCAGAATTATCAGAGACAGAGTGATAGAGGGACTTGTGATTCCATAACTTTCATTTTCCCCACTTGGGGAACTTGGTGCTGTGTTGTCCTCCAAAATCTGTGTTTTCATACCCCGTCCTTGATCCCTGCTTCCTCTGGTCCCTCTCTTCCCTCCTTTCCTAATCCTGTAATTTTTCTCCTTTCCTTCCAGAAAAATGAGGAACAAATCTGAGCTCAAGATAGTGACAGGTTCCTCTCAGGACTTTGAGAGAATGTTTCATGATATTTTGATCCCTTAAGAGGGGTGGAGAACATTATTCAATCTCTTCTTTCCTTTTTTTTTTTTTTTAAAGTTGTTTGTGTGTGAGGTAAGAGACAGAGCTCTCATCTGCAGTTCATTCCCTAAATGCTCACAATGACCAGGGGTTTTGTCTGGGCTGGGCCAAAACCAGGAGCTAGGAATTCCTTCCAGGTCTCCCCTAGAGTGGTAGGGATTCAACCACTTCAACTACCTGCTGCCTGCTAGAGTTCAAATTAGTAGGACACAAACCCAGCTACTCTGAAGGACATTACTGGCATCTTAGACTCAAAGCCAAACACCTACCCCCAGGCTTTTCTATGAACACTGACTACAGCAAACACCAAGTTTCAGGGAATGTTGTGTTCCTTGGAAGGGCAAATGGGTCTTTGGGACCCTGAACACAGTTCCTTGCAAGTCAGTAAACAGGACTAGAGGTCAGAGATGGTTTGTGGATTTGGACTTGGTCCCCTGACTCTTTCTGTCTTGTTCTATTATTCTGTTTAATTGCTCTTATTTTTCTTTGATTTTTGTCCTTAGTACCAAGCTTCTTGGCTCCCAAATGATCAGTGTTTTGACCATTAGGAGGGGAAAAACTTTTGGTAATTTACTGGGCAAATTTTATGAGTCACTTGCCTTTTAGATCCCTGAAGTGAAGTAGATTGGAGCATGAGACATAAATGACAAACATGTATATCTGTATTATGATTTACTCTGCTAAAAGCCCCAGTAAAGAATATGGTTTAAAGTCTGAAAGAAGAGGTGTCTGGCCCAGTTAAGTGAGAATGATGTCAAGAGTAGAGCAGGATTATGAACATGGGATTGGTTGACAGATGGTGTTGGTAAAGTAGACCACCCTCTGAGATGATTTGAGGACTGGGCAGAGCAGATGGAATGGCTGTGCCAGGAAATTATTCAGCAGAGGAAGTACATGTAGAACAGAGCTTGGGGTGTTCTGGGATGCCACCAGTGAGTTTCGCTTCCCTGAAAGAAAGCAAATCTTTAAGTTACTGCAGAGGATAGAGGTCCTTAATTCTATGGTGGAAATCACTAGTCATGTGACCTTCTTGATTTATTTAGTGAGCCTAAATCCTGGGATGCCCTGAAACTGTGGTTCCTTCCTTGTCCCAAAGGAAACTAGTCTGCTTTCCACTCTGTCCATCTCCCCTGCAAATGTTAAGACCTATGCCAAACCAAAAGTCTTGGCTAAGGCAGCTTTAGAAATAGAGGGACAAATCCTAAGAGTCTGGGAGTTATTCATTCAGCCTGACCACACTGCCCTCTGGGCTGTTCTAGAAGAAGGGACCAAGGAGTCCTAGCCCTGCTCTAGAAGATCAGATATGAGGGGCAGTGACTGGCCTGATTTATTTCCGTCAGAGATTCTTTAAGTTTTATTTTCCCTTCACATTGATGATAGTGTTCTCTTTGCTTTCTTTGAACTTGTATGTGCGGGCATCTGGCTTTGATCATAGGAATTATAAGACACTGAATGGTTAGGAGCAGAAAAAACTCTTTCTCACTCTCTCCCTGTTTCCTGCTTTCCTTCTTAGTGGGTGCTCAGCACATGATGGCACATTGCACATATTATCACCGACTCTAAACATGTCTTTCAGTTTGTGTCCATCTTGACTTGAGAAATTACTGTTTCCTCCTATCCTCCCCCCTCCCCCTGGCTAACTGAATATACTTGATTCCCAGAGACAGGGGACCTGGATTATAAAGCCAGTTCCTAGCAAACTGTGTGACCTTGACCAAGGAGATCCCTTTTGGATCTCAGTTTCTTCATTGAGTAAAGTAAGGTTGAACTGGATGATCTCTGAGTCCCTACCAGTTTTAAATATGCACCAAGTCTGATACTCTCATTCTTGGGAAAGGTAACATGATGTGAAGGGAGGGAGAATATTGAATGACAAACCTAGGAAGAGTGGAGGGGTTCCAGCCGAGTGTTCAAAACTCAGCCACCTGATTCAATTATAGCTCTTTTTTCTCAAAACCATAAGGGGTATAATTGCTGGGTTTTTCAAGCCCTGGGTCAGTGTAAAGCGTGCTGAATTAAATCTCTATTGCTCTAAATTTAGTTTATGTGCTGCCAAAGCAAGTACTGAATTAAATACAGGGGTTCCAGAGGGGTCTAACTTTCCTTTTAGTATTTGTGAGAGCCACCTAGTGAGTGTAGACTATAGCTTTGAATGCTCTAATATGACTAACCTGTACTTGTAGTGGCCTCTTGTCTTTGCCATGTAAGCCTTTGGGAGCATCCAGCGTGGCTCCAGACAGTAGTGATAGTTTTGTGTGGTTTCGTGGAGTGGTTTGGAATAACTGTATATGCATTTTGAAGCTGTGTGTACTGTCTGCAGCTTTGTGTGGCTACTAACACGCTCCCGGCCTTGCAGGCTCACAGTGTACAGGGCTGTTCAGCACCACGGTGCTGGGTGGCTCCTCCAGCGCACCGAATCTTCAGGACTACGCTCGCAGCCATGGCAAAAAGCTACCGCCTGCCAGTTTGAAGCACCGAGATGGTATGTGGGTGGGTTTTGAGGGGGGCAGCTCTTGTCTTGACTTGTCTCCCAGCAAGGACATAGCTGCACAACTATTCATGCTTAAGAATGGTACTGACATTGGCCCAATGACCAGTTGTCTTCATCAATAATAGATGGGAGAAGGAACTGAGACCCCTTCCATCTTCCATTTGCATTCCCTCTTACCATATAAATACTACTTATTTATGCTTCTTCCCTGCATAATCTCCCACATACAGCCCCTGCTGCATTGATTAGTAGTCTTTCCTGGATCCTGGTCTATAGGGATAAGGACTGAGGAGGATGATCCATGGTTAGGAGCAATGCAATGATACCTTCATTAAAATACAGGAAATCATGTTCAGGCACAAGGAAATTACTCAGCTGAGCTAGAAAAGATGGTACAGAGAGAGACTGAGGGAAGAACTGAAAGTCACCCCGAAGACTTTATTTCCAAATGACCAGAAAGAAGACATGCTGCTGAAATTAGGATTTTTTGCGGGACCGTATTTGTGGTAGGGATAACATAAAAATTGCTGAGAGGTTACACCAAAGGAAGGAATTCAGTGTGGTAGTCAGGAACCTAAAGGGTGGGAATGGGAGCAGTTCATATAAACTAAAGTACAGAGTATATTTGCGGGCAAATTCCAGAGCACAGGGTGGGAACAGGGGTGGGTATAATCCCCATGATGTCTTTTCTCCCCAGAGCTCTTGTTTGTCCCGGCCGTAAAACGATTTTCTGTGTCGTTTGCAAAGCATCCGACTAACGGTACGTTTGCTTCTGACTCAACATCATTCCTCCTCACCATGTCACCTCCAGACTCTTAACCTCTGAGTGACACTGACTATACCTTTCCTTCCACTGTGTTGATGCCCTGCTGTCTCTGAGTGAGCCACTCTCTAAGTGTCCCTCCTGGGACACTTCCCTTGTGATAACCTTAGCCCTGGCTGCAGCCTGGCTGACCTATCTTTGTGGCAACTTGGGGTCTTACTTTCATAATCACCATCATCACCATGATGTCATTTTTGTCAGCATCACCACCAATGCATTGATTACATCTCTCCCTTTCTTATCACATGACTGCCAGGCTCTGTAGAGAGATGGTAATGGTTTCCCCCTTTTTAGGAAGAGAACGGTACTTCCAGGCTTATGTAATTTTGGTCTTTTTGGTTTTTCTCCAACCCTTTTGATGGGTTGGGTGACTAGTTTGTTCCTCTTTTGGAGTAATACAGCAGTTCCCAGTTCCCAAGCCTAATGTAAGGGTGCTGGTCTGGAGTATACAGTTTCCTATCTCTATTGCCATCTCCTGTCATTGTGTGTATTTTGTGTGACTCGTGCTCCTGACATCTGCTTTATGTTACTACTAACCTAGTGTCTAGACCTGAAAGCAAAAGGCCAGGTTGTTATGGGATTAAAAAAAGTAAGAAGTAGCTAGTAAAGGAAAAGATGAGTTTTTAAATGTGATTTCTACATGGCCCCACATAGAGGTTTGGAGAGTTGAGACACCTGCTAGGTTTTCTGGAGAGAGCTTAGGCATGAATAATACTTCAACAGTGTTGAAGAACTGAGTCTGCCCACATGAAGGTAGGAATGAACATTTGGAGATCTGTGTAAACCAAAGGCTGAAGTTTGGCAGTCTCCTCATAGGGTTTACCCTGTACTGAGGTTTTATCCTTTTGTTCTTAGTTTGCTGTCTCTATGTTGTATTTTGTCTTAGAGTAAGTCTGGTTTTGTTAGATATTGTTTTCTTCTGCCTTAAGATCTGAGACTCTGCAAAGGAGGTAACACTTGCCTCTCTTCCTGGCTAGAAGACTGCCCTCTGTTGATCCCCTGCTGCATAGTCAGTGGCAGTGTCTAGACTAGTTCGGTCAGGTCACACATCCCCACCAGATGTTCCTGAATTCTCTTGCTAGATCAACCAGTCAGTATATGCTTGGTTCTACCTCCCACGCTCCCATTTGTGTCTGGATCAGGAGTCCCCACTCAGAGACACATGGCTGTATCTACTCATTTAGCTTTAAGTTCTTCAGACCTTCATGGGCCACAGTCATCCCCAGAGTGGAACCCAATGCATCAACCCCAAGCCTCAGACTTAGAATTAGGATCCAAAGTATATTACCAGGATCTTGAGTCTTGAAACCTGAGTGAGGTCACATGTCTTCTAGTTTATTAAGAGTCTTAAGAGAAGACCCTGGTTTATAAAACAGCCTCAAACCTGTGTACCTTCAGTTCCCTGAAGCTTTAGTTAGCAGCCTCACCAGTTGAAGAAAAGATTTAATGCTACCAAAAGGAGTTGAGGACAAAAGATCTGAACATTTGAGGCACAGTGCAGGAAAACAAATTTCACGATCTACTCTAGCATCCTGCATATTTCCTCTGGGGTCTTCTGTCCTCTTGTTTTTATTGTACTTGAGAAACCAGAATCTGGGATCTACCAGCTGGCAAAAGGAGAAATGTGGAGCTATTGTATCTCTTGTTGAAGATTATCTAGATTGAATTTGGCTCACAGGACAATATGAGGGCTCTACCTCATAGCCATTACAGAGTAGATATTCTTTCTGCAATTGCTTATGATAGAATAGTCACAGCATAGTGTACCAACCTATAGTCCCATCGTCATCTCCTTCACATGCTTGCCTGGCTTTGAAACAGCATCAGGAAAGATGGGAACTGGCTTTGGAAAGGGAACAAGGCAATACTGCCTCTCTGTTTGGACAGAAGAGCAGCTCTGAGTTCATCCCACCCCTCTGCTCCTGATAAGTTTTTGTCATATACTGTAGCTACATCACAAAAGTATGGCCTGTTAATAAACTACACGTAAAATTCATCAAAGAGAACTGATGAAGGGGAAAAGAGACTGTGGTTTACCTTCAATCTGGAATGTCATACCGTGCACGTTGAATTTGTCAAGTGCGTTATCTTCTAGAGACCCACACTAGTGACCTGGTAAAGCTGGTACATTCACCAGACCAGCCTGGGTAAAGCTGAAACCTCTGCTGACATCTGAGCTAAAGTCTCTGGAAACTGTAGTCTCATGGATCACCCTCAGCTGCCTTTACCCTGCGTTCTCTGTACCAACATCCTATGCTCAAGTTCTTACCCATCTTCATGTCAGGTCTTATGAACCGCCTGTCTCTTCCCAAGATCTTTTCCTATTCCTACCATATTCCTCATCATATGCCATTCACTACTGTCAGCCTTGTGCAGCTGAATTGCATGCACCCACCAAGTTTACCCAGCAGCTGAAACGATGAGGGGTTCAGAATCAAAGCTGTCCCACTCCCTAGCTGAAGTGGCAAGAAAATATAGAAGTTGCTAACTTTTGACTCCTATGATGTATAAAGTGTCCTCCAAGTCGTGAGGTCTAGGCATACTTTTTAAAGAACCTATTTGGGATTTTAGAGATATATTTATTTGAAAGGCAGATTTATGAAGAGAGAAGGAAAGACAGAGTGATCTGTCCAGGTGGCTATAAATGGCTAGGGCTGGGTCAGTCCTGAGCCAGGAGGCTGGAGCTTCTTCTGGGTCTCCCATGTGGGTGCAGGGGTCTAATTGTGATGCTTTGCCAGGCACATCGCAGAGAGCTAGATTAGAATTGAAATAGCTGGTACTCCAACCAGATTCTGTATAGGATGCCAGCCCTGCAGGTGGAGGCTTAATGCACTATACCATGGCCCAGGCCCCCTGAACCTATTTGAACAAGAGCAAAATAAAGGAAACTGAGACAGGATTGGCATATTCACATATTGATTTCATTTTTTCATGCACAGCTTTAAGAGAATCCAGCAGCCATATGGCACCTGCCCTATTTGTAGCTGTCTCAGCAGCTCATCTAGAGTGCCTACCATGGACCTTCACAAGCCTTTTTAGCTTTGGATAATCTTGATACCTACCTCTATCAGGACCCTGTTCTTTGAATTTCCATCTCTGTCCTAACCTCACAAGTGCCCTTGTTTGGAAAGAAAGTAATAACAAGGGTTTGTCAAAGAATGATAAAGGATTCCGGATCCCTAATCAAGGCTCCCCGCCACAGAGCTGCCAGCTCACGCTTGTCCAGAATGATGCAAACACTGCCAATGCTCAGAGAGGAAGGGGAGGGCCCTGCTGTGTGACAGGGTCTCACCAGGCACTTCTTTTAGACTCACCATGTAACGGCTACACTCTTCCCTACAAGAGATGCCCAGTGATTCTCTCTGCTTCTCTTTTTGGATCTCAGTGGCCCTTACCTCCCAGTAACTTTGTTCCTGTCAGTGCCCCCCTCATTGTCTCTCCCTCTTCTTTCTCTTTATCTTTGTGCTTCCTGCCGTGATCCCCCCACACCCTCCAGAACTGCTGGATGACCAGCACCCTGTGGTCCGGTTGCTGCGCAGTTTTTCCTCTGATTGCCCAGGGTGCCGGCCAGTCTCCTTGGATGCCACGCTGGCGCATCATCTGCACCAGTGCTCCTACCACCTGCGCCTCTTCCGGAACTGGCTGCGCTCAGGCCAGGATGACCCCGAGTGCCTCTACGGTACCCCTTGCCACCAAGCTGGCTGCTGCCACTACCCTGGCTGGGATTGATTGCTTTGCTTATTGCACTTCTGGCAAAAGAGCCCACCTATCCCTTTCTCCTATTTGCCCTAAGGTGATATGACTTGCGTTTAGTTGCTTGTATGTGTTTTGGGCCCAGATTGCCTGGTAGCTATAGCCTTGGCTGCTCATCCCTCTTTGATTCTATTGTCTCACAGCCTCCTGAAGTTCCTCCATTCCCCAGTTCTATTCAGTATAGGAATAATCTCTTGCCTTGGAATCTGTCCTTACCTCTAACTGTCCGCTAGCACCATCTTCAAATCCTGACATTTTACTAGACACTCTGAGGAACAAGAGACTGTGCCTCTCCTGCCCTCTTGCTGCACAATTACTTGGGGAAAATTGAGGCACAGAGACCTCAGTTGAATCCTTGTGGCAAACAAGGGCTAGAGGTGATAAGATGGCCAAATACAATCCTTTTGAGTTATGGATTATAGTCATTGATAAACAGGGGACTAAATCTTACATAGATGTTGCTGTCTTGCCCACTCCAACCCTATTAAGGAGATGTAGAGGATGTATACTAAAGACTGAGAACTGATAAGTGATAGAAATAAATGCTTCTTGATCCTCCAATGTGATTATTTTTTCCAGCGGTAGTTCCTGGGAGTAGGGTAACACATGTAGTTTTTATCCTTGACCTTACTCACACTGATACACCCTACACTGTAATTGTTGGGTTGAGATCAGAGATTCAATATTTATTACAACAAATAAAATTTGCCTTATTTTCCTGATGTAGTGCCAGCTATCCTTGCAAGCCTGGGACCTTCTAATAGATAAGAAGGGAAGAGCTTTGATGTGTAGGAAATGGCCAAGAAAGAGCTTCCATCCCCCTGCCTGTTCATGCATGTGATTTTCCTGGGCTGAGCTTCATATGTATTGCATGCCTTCCAGTTTGCATCCAAGTACTCTAGTCTTTCTACACACATTCTAAATTTGCATGAACCCCTCAGATTCCATGTCCTCCCTCCTTAATCTGGTTCTCTTTTTCATGACACCTGAAGTCTGCCATTTTTTCCCAGCTCCATGAGTCCCCACCCCCACCACCTCATGTTAGATGTCCAGTGTCACCCTTTACTTCTGGATCCTTGTTTTATTCCCCAAGAAAGTACAAGAGCAGTGTTGATTCTTACCCTCCTGGGACTCTGTTGATTTTTTTCCCCAGAGGACCTTGCAGTCTCTTCATAGGATGAGAGGTGATTAGATTCACCCAGAGGCCTTAACTGGTAGACTTTTTAGAAGATCAAAAGATGAGAGAAAACAGACTTCCCTAGTGGTTGTATACAATTCCCTCTTCTGAAAATCTTGGATACCCCCTACTCCTAATGACTCTTAGGGACTCTTCATACTTCTTGGCCAGACATGGTATATCTGGCAAGAATAATGTTGACTTTGCCCATCTCTTTCCTAATAGGATTTGAAGGCTGCTCCATGGTGCCAACCATCTACCCACTGGAAACTCTGCATAATGCACTTTCCCTGCGTCAAGTGAGTGAGTTTTTGAGTAGAGTCTGCCAACGCCACACAGATGCCCAGGCACAGGTGTCAGCAGGTATGGAAACTACTTTAATTTTGTATGCCTACCTCTGCTCCCACTCCCATGCATCCCTGAACATGAGAAAGTAATAACGTATAAAGGTGGTTAGGAGTGGGAATTCCCTCTAGATGTTAAGATGTTCAGTTCTGACTTCAGCTCTTGATTCCAGTTTCCTGGAGGCAGCAGTCATGTCCCCAAGTTACTGGGCTCCTGCCTGCCATGTGAGCAACCTGGGTTGTGTTATCAGCTGTTCTTCCAACTCCAGTCATTAACAGGCAATTGGGAAGTAAACCTGCAGATGGGAACTAGCATGCTGCTTCTCTCTCGTCTCTCTTTTTCAAGTAAATTCTTATAAATATTTATTTTCATTTTATTTGAAAAGCAGATAAATTGTGTGTATATGTAAGACACACAGAAGGAGAGAATCTCTTCTATGTTGGCTTAACTTCCCAAATAACTCCAACAGCTAGGCTTGGGCCTGGCCAAAGGTAGGAGACTAGAACCGAATCCAGGTGTCCCATGTAAGTGGCAGGAAACCAACTGCTTGTGCAATCATCTGTGGCCTGCCAAGGTGCAAATCAGCAAGAAGCTGGAATTGAAAGTAGAGTCAGGACTCAGATCAGGACTAAGGTCAGATCTCAAACTGGAAACAAGTGGCATATAGGCATCTCTGGTGGGGTCTTAACTGCTGTGTCAAATGCCCACCCCGTCAAATAATTTTTTTCAGTTTATAAAAATAATGGTGCTGAGCTCAGAACCCCAACCATGAAGAGACTATCTCAGCCAATAGACTCTGAATAGGTTTCATTGCGATTGGAACGGCAAGTTTGGCAACAATCCAGAACTGATGAACTATCAAAACTGCTTGAGCAGGAACCTCGGAGCATGCCTCACGTTGGGGATCTGGGATGGGTGGAAGGCTGGGTGGGGCTTTTCCCTTTGTTTCTCCCCTGACTCCCAGATACAGGGGGAAAATGATGATATTAGTATGGAAACAATGGTATTACCCACTTTTACCCTGTAGCCCTTGACCCTTTGTACCCTAATCAACTAAGTAAGATTATTAAAAAATAATTTAAAAAATAAAATAAAAAAATAATTAATGGGGCCAAAGTGATGGCTAAAATGCCTAAAACTCCTCGTGCAAGCACCAGCCTCCCATGAGGGTGCTGGTTCCTATCCTGGCTGCTCCACTTCTCTTCCAGCTCCCTACTTAAGGCCTGAGAATTCAGTGGACCCTGGGACCCTGTATGCACGTGGGAGACCCAGAGGAAACTCCTGGCTTCAGATCAGCTCAGCTCTGGCCATTGTGGCCATTTGGGGGAGTGAACCAGCGAATGGAAGATTTTTCTCTCTGTCTTTCCTTCTCTCTGGAAATCTGTCTTTCCAATAAAAATTAATGAAAATCTCTAGCACAAACAAACAACAAGAAGAATTAGTATTGGTGGGCATCTAAATAGCTAGCTTACTGCATATGGATCGGAGATCTAAATGTAAAGAATCCATGTGGGTAGACTGCTCCAACGACTTGTTCCTTTCAGAAATTCCAAAACATCAGACAAAAACTGTCAGATCATCTCCGTCAGAAAGAAGCAACCTAAAAATGGCAGGAAAGCTTTATAGCACTTTTATTTGTCCCTTCCCCAATTCTCTACTCCCTACTTCAACTTAGTGGAGGTCTTTGTTTATTTCAGATTTATTTATTTATTTGCAAGACAGTATACAAGAGAGAAATATCTTCTCTCTGCTGGTTTGTTTCCCCAATAGCTGCAACAGGCAGATCTACATATGATTTGGACCACATTTAAGCCAGGAGCCAGGAACTCCATCTGCATCTCTCACATGGGACCTAAGTACTTAGGTCATCCTCTCCTGCTTTCCAAGTTATATTAGCAGGAAGTTGATTTAGAAGTAGAGCAGCTGAGCCTGGGACATGCACTCTGATACTGGATGCTGGTTTCAAAAGCAGTTGCTTATTGTGCTGCACCACTGTGCTGTCCCCATTGGTAGTGATCTTGAAGATGTCTGCCCATGTTCTCAGTGTGGGATGTTGGTCCCGTCCCTGGTTCTAGAAGAAGCAAGGAAAACCTTATTCTCAAAGAATTGTGTTTATTTCTAACCTGTCAGTGGATTGTCTAAAGGACTGACTTAGGCACTACCTTTGTTCTGCCTAACTTGGGACTTATTCAGGGTAGAAAAGTTTATATGCAGAAAATTATATATGCATTCCTTAAGTGTTCAATGCCTGGGACCTGTGATGTGGCACAGTAGATAAAGCCACCTTCTGTTGATTTAAGTCCTAGCTGCCCCACTTCTAATCTAGTTTCCTGCTAATGTACTTGGGAAAGCAGTGGAAGATTGCCCATGTGCTTGGGCCCCAAGACCCCTGTGGGAGACCCAGAGGAAGCTCCTGGCTTTTGCTGACCCAGTTCTGACCTAGTTCTAGCCATTACAGACATTTTTGGAGTGAACCCAGTGGATGGAAAATCTCTGTCTCTCCCTCTCTGTGTAATTCCGTCTTTCCAATAAATAAAACTTTTATTAAAAGTTCAGTTCCCACTGCTGTATGAGGCAGGAAAATGTAGATGAGGCAAATAAAAGATGTACATAAACTATAAGACAAAAATCTAAGGGGGAAAGTTTCTTTAGAAAAGTAGAGAATTCAGGGACTGACACTATGGCCTATCATGTTAAACCCTCTGCCTGTGGTGCTGGCATCCAATATGGGTGCCAATGTGAGTCCCAGCTGCTCCGCTTCCTATTCAGCTCCCTGCTGATGTGCCTGAGAAAGCAGTGGAGGATGGCCTCAAGTGCTGCACTCAGGTAGGAGACCCAAAAGAAACTCTTGGCTGCTGGCTTCAGACCAGCCCAGCTCCAGCTGTTGTAGCCATTTGGGGGATAAACCAGAAGATGAAAGGTGTCTCTCTCTTTTTCTGCTTCTCTCTCTATAACTCTGCCTTTCTACTAAAAATTAATAAAGTTTTTAAAAAAAGAAAATCAGAAAATTCAATGACATTAACTTAGACTGGGAAACTTAGCATCTCATATACATGCCATGGGAAGGATACATGCACAAAAAAGACCTAATGAGATCCTAAGTTTTCACTTCTGACTGAACTCTGAATTCAGGAAGAGCAGGAAATGAAGGCAAGGGGAGAGTTGTAAATGGTCTGGTTACATAAATGAGTTGCTCAGCATGGAACCAGTTCACAACACTCAAAGAGCTTTCCTTTAATTCCTTTTAAAAAACTATTTGTTTATTTTTATTTGAAAGGCAGATTTACAAAGAGGAAAGGCAGAGAGAAATCTTCCATCTGTCAGTTCATCTCCTAAATAACTGCAAAGACTAGAGCTAGGTCAGTCTGAAGCCAGGAACGTCATCAGTTCTCCCACGTAGATGCAGGGGTCCAATTCTGTCACTCTCCCAGGTGCATTAGCAGGGAGCTGGGTTAGAAGTGGAGCATCTGGTATTAGAACTGGCACCCATATGGAATGCTGGTGCCCTAGGCACAGGAATAGCTTACTAAACCTGCCCACACTTTCATTTTTTCTCTTCCTTTATTGGTTCCTGACATTCAAGGAAATCTTTGTCAAAATACAAAATGAGTGCAAGTTAAAGGACCAGAGGCATCAGAGACTACACATGACAAAGAACATAGACTCCAAAAAATAGCCTATATTGGGCTTGGTGCAGTGGCCTAGTGATTGAGGTCCTCGCATTGAATGCACTGGGATTCCATGTGGGTGCCATTTCTAGTCCCAGCAGCTCCACTTCCCATCCAGCTCCCTGCTTGTGGCCTGGGAAAGCAGTCAAGGACAGCCCAATGCCTGGGACCATGCACCTGTTTGGGAGACCTGGAGAAAGTTCCTGGCTCCTGGCTTCGGATCGGTGCAGCACCAGCTGTTGCAGTCACTTGTGGAATGAATCAAGGGACCTTCAAGCAAACCAGAATATGCTTAAAGAAAGTGTATTTGGGGCCTGGTGTGATGACGTAGTGGTTAAAGTCCTAACCTTGCATGCTCTGGGATCTCGTATGGTGCCAGTTCTAGTCCCAGTGGCCCTGCTTCCCATCTAGCTCCCTGCTTGTGGCCTGGGACAACCCAAAGCCTTGGAACCCTGCACCCACGTGGGAAAGCTGGAAGAGCTCCTGGCTCTTGGCTTCAGATTGGCTCAGCTCTAGCGGTTGCAGCCGCTTGGGGAGTGAATCCTCAGACGGAAGATCTTTCTCTCTGTTTCTCCTCCCCTCTTTGTATCTGCCTTTCCAATAAAAATAAATAAATCTTTTTAAAAAAAATCTTTCTTAAAAAAAAATAGAAAGTGTATTTGAAGAAGAAAGGGCTAAAAACTTCTTAAATTTGACAAAATATCTGAGTCCAGATGTTAATATAGCTCAACTAATTCCAATAAGGATAAATCCAAAGAGAGCCACACGGAGACACCTTAGGGTCAGATTGTCAAAGGACAGTCTTGATTGCAGCAAGCGAGAAGCAATCTGCCACATGCAAGGTAACAGCAGGTTTCTCTTTGTAAATCCTGGAGGCCAGCAGGCAGCAGCACAAGACATGTTTACAATGCTAACATAAAAAACAAGTAACAGAAAAATCAACTAACAGAAACAACTAAAAAATTAAAACAACCAAACAACTAAAAAGACAACTAACAGAAAAATGAAGTAAGAATTCTGTACTTGCTGAATGGTTCAAAAAATGAAGGAGACATTAAGACATTTCCTGCATTTTAAAAAGTTCACACTTTTCACTTTGAAAATGTTCTACCAAACTGTGATACTGAAATCAAGGTAACACTGCCTACCACGGGCCCCGGACTGCGCACCAGGCAGGGTACCCTACCGACCACATGGGTGCAGGGGTCTAAAGACCTGGGCCACCTTTCACCATTTTTTTTTTAAGATTTATTTATTTTACTGCAAAGTCAGATGTACAGAGAGGGGGAGAGACAGAGAGGAAAATCTTCCTTCTGAGGATTCGCTCCCCAAGTGACCAGAACGGCTGATGCTGCGCCAATCTGAAACCAGGAGCCAGGAACTTCCTCCAGGTATCTCATGCGGGTGCAGGGTCCCAAGGCATTGGGCTGTCCTTGACTGCTTTCCCAGGCCAAAAGCAGGGAGCTGGATGGGAAGCTGGGTGAGAAGTGGAGCTGCTGAAATTAGAACAGGCATCCATATGGGATCCTGGTGCATTCAAGGCGAGGACTTTAACTGCTATACCACCACGCCAGGCCCATCACCAATTTTCTAGGTACGTTAACAGGAGCTAGATCAGAAGTGGAGTAGCTGGAACTAAAACCTATGCCCATATGGGATGCCAGTTCCACAAGTATAGGATTAGTGTACTACTCCATGGCACTGGCTCCATGAAAAAACACTACAATAAAAACAGCTGAAATGTCGACAAATGGGCAAAGTATGGTATCTTTTAGTATTCTAAAATTCAAGAAACTTTTATGAACATGATCTTTAAATATGAATTTATATTAAAAAAAAAAGACGTGAGACAGCTGAATAGTACCCTATAACCATGTTAAGGTTTACAGCAGTTGGTTGTGTATAAACTAAAATTGAGATGTCAGTGAAGTAGTTATAGGATGTGGATAAGAACTTCCATTTTCTAACACATTGGTCACTCAGTAGCATGTCAGTTAACTTCATGATGTTGTAAATTTCCATGTTTCTTCCTATTGTTGAATTTATTATGGCTTTTCATTTGAGGGGATGATACTCTGCCAGCTCTACATTCGGATCAAAGATGGTCTCCCAATGAAACTGTTGAATTTATCCGGACAATAAGATGCTGGACGTTCTGCATGGTTCATTCCCGCAGTGATGGGATTATGACTGGTTATGAGCTGTGCTGCTGTAATACTATGGAGGAAATCAATATGGGAAGAGGGCTTGAGGAGGGGTTGGGGGAATCTCAGAGCCTATGGAACTGTGTCATAAAATGAAATAATAATAATGAAAACAAATAATTTATGGAGCACAAGGATGCTGCAGATCCTGCTTCTAGGACTCTGTGAGCACCCTGAGTGGCTGCCATGAGCGAAGCTCATCCTCCCAAGTTGAAAAAAATTTATGAACAAGAAGTAACATTAAAATTAAATGGTGGCAGACATGTCCAGGGAATACTGCGAGGATTTGATTGCTCTGTGAATTTTGTGATAGATGAATGTGTGGAGATGGCAAGTAGTAGACAGCAGAACAATATTGGAATGGTGGTAATATGAGGAAATAGTATCATTGTGTTAGAAACCTTGGAACAAGTGTAGTAATGGGTGTGCAGCAAAGAAATCCTTATCCCCTCTCCAAAAGGACCTTATATTTTGCAATGATGTAAAAGTTGGGTCGTGTACATTTTCATGTTAAATTTTTTAAGTTAATTTTTGTGATGCTTAAAGAAAAATGATTTTACAGGACCTGCATGGTGGCTCAACTGGCTAATCCTGTGCCAGAGTTTCATATGGTTGTCAATTCATTTTCTGGCTGCTCCACTTTCCGTCCAGCTCCCTACTTATAGACTAGGAAAGCAATAGAGGATGGCTCAAAACCTTGGGACCCTGTACTCATTTGGGAGACTGGAGGAGGCTCTGACTCTTGGTTTTGGATCAGTTCCACTCTGGCTCCTGTGGCTGTCTGGGGTGTGAACCAGTGGATGGAAAATCTTTGTCTTTCTTTCCCAGTTTAAATCTGCCTTTCCAATAAAAATAAAAATCAATCTTAAAAATGATTTTAAAGTCTTGATTTTAAAATATAAATTGTTTGCAGAGAAATAAATACCAATGATCATTATACATATTGATTATGCCCAACCCTGATCACAGAAGTTATTATGTTAAAACATTATTTCTTTTATTTATTTATTTTTATTTTTTTAAAGATTTATTTTTATTATTTTTTTATTGGAAAGGCAGATATACAGAGAGGAGAGACAGAGAGGAAGATCTTCCGTCCAATGATTCACTCCCCAAGTGAGCGCAACAGCCGATGATATGCCGATCCGAAGCCAGGAGCCTCTTCCGGGTCTCCCACGTGGGTGCAGGGTCCCAAAGCATTGGGCCGTCCTCGACTGCTCTCCCGGGCCACAGGCAGGGAGCTGGAAGGGAAGCGGGGCTGCCGGGATAGAACCAGCGCCCATATGGGATCCCGGGCGTGCAAGGCGAGGACCTTAACCACTTGCGCCACCGTGCCGGGCCCAAAACATTATTTCTTAACTGTCTAAAAAAATCCTACAACACAAGAGGGTGTGTTGATTGCACGCTCTCTTGACAAGTCTGATGAGCTAGTAAATCCAGTACACTGTTGATGGGAATGCACAGATTGTATTTCTATGATTATAAAATCTGTAGCATGTCACAGATTTATACATGGAGTTGACCTCTGATCCAACAGCCTGCCTTTAGGAATCTGTTCTGATTCTTTTTTTTTTTCTGCACAAAGTTGAAATGATGCTTGCATAGGTCATTCATTATGATGGTATCTATAGTGGCAGCCCAAGAGTTCTTCAGTGTAAGAGTAGTTGAGAAAAACTATTGTGTATCCACTCAGTTGATCTGTTAAAACTGATGGGGAAGCTGTATCTAATATAGAGTAATTCAGGATATACATTAAATGAAAACTAAAGGTGCAGAATTCAATCATAGGCTACCTGGGTTTTTTGTTGTTGTTTATCTGAATTTTTTGTTGTTTTTAAAGATTTATTTTATTATTGGAAAGTCAGATGTACAGGGAGGAGGTGAGACAGAGAGGAAGATCTTCTGCCCAATGATTCACTCCTCAAGTGGCCACAATGGCCAGAGCTAAGCCAATCTGAAGCCAGGATCCCAAAGCCTCTTCCAGGTCTCCCACATAGGTGCAAGGTCCCAAGGCTTTGGGCCATCCTCGACTGCTTTCCCAGGCCACAAGCAGGGAGCTGGATGGGAAGTGGACCTGCTAGGATTAGCACTGGCACCCATGTGGGATCCCAGCGTGTTCAAGGTGAGGACCTTAGCCACCTAGGCCACCGCGCCGGGTCCTCAAATAAATAAGCTTCAAAAACAAAAAAACATGGCCTGGCGCAGTAGCCTAGCAGCTAAAGTCCTCATCATGCATGTGCCAGGATCCCATATGGGCACCGGTTCTAATCCTGGCAGCACCACTTCCCATCCAGCTTCCTGCTTGTGGCCTGGGAAAGCAGTTGAGGACAGCCCAAAGCCTTGGGACCCTGCACCCATGTAGGAGACCAGGAGGAGATTCCTGGCTCCTGACTTCGGATCAGCAGAGCACTGGCTGTTGTAGTCACTTGGGGAGTGAATCTTCATACGGAAGATCTTCCTCTCCAATTCTCCTCCTCTCTGTATATCTGACTTTGCAATTAAAAAAATCTTAAAAATGACTTATTTATTTAAAAAAGTTACATAGAAACATAGCAGAGGCTAAACAAGAGATGTTTCATCCACTGGTTTACTCCTCAAATGGCTGCAGTAGTTATGGCTGTGCCAGGTCAGAGCCAGGAGTCCGGAGCTTCTCCTAGCCCTTCTTTGTGGTTGCAGGGTTCCAAGCACCTGGGCCATCCTCTGCTGTCTATGTGGAATGCTGGCAGTGCAGGTGATGACTTAATATGCTAGGCCATATCTGGTTACAAGTTTAGCTATTTTGTAAGTAATAAGAGAAAATTAAAAATATATGCACATATATTTACAAAAAGCAATACCGAAAGTATAAACTAGAAATTAGTGAAAGTGATTTACTCTGGTGGTACCAAAAGGAATGAGGTTATATGACAGCAGGAAGGAAATACACTGAAAATTAAAAAAAAAAAATTTATTGGAAAAGCTGTCCTCTAGTGCTTTCCCAGGGTACAAGCAGAGAGCTGGGTGGGAAATGGAGCAACCGAGATGCAAACCGGCACCCATTGGGATCCTGGGTCATGTAAGACGTAGACTTAAGCCATTTGGTTACCATACTGGGCTCAACATTTTATTTATTTTCATTAAAAAGTCAGATTTACAGAGAGAAGGAGAGACAGTCAGAAAGATCTTTTGTCCAATGCCTCACTCCCCAGGTGGCCACAATGGCCAAAGCTGAGCCAATCCAAAGCCTAGGAGCCAGTAGCTTCTCCCACACAGGTGCAAGGTCTGGGTCTCACGTGGGTGCAGGTTCCCAGGTTTTGGTCTGTCCTCTACTGCTTTCCCAGGCCACAAGCAGGGAGCTGGATGGGAAGTGGAACAGCTAGGACAAAAACTGTTGCCCATATGGGATCCTAGTGACACAAGGTGAGGATTTAGTCCCTAGGTGCTGGGCCCAGGAAATACAACTTTTCCTTCTTTTTCTTTTTTATGTATTTACTTATTTTATTTTTATTTGAAAGGCAGATTTGCTGAGAGAAGGAGAGACAGAGATTTTCTGTCCATTAGTTTACTCCCCGGATAGCCACAGTGGCTAGAGCTAAGTTAAGCTGAAGCCAGGAGCTAGCAGCTTTTTCTGGGTATCCCATGTGGGTCAGGGGCCCAAGCTGGGCCATGTTCTACTGCTTTTGCCGGCCATTAACAGGGAACTGGATCGGAAGTGGAGAAAGTAGAGCTCAAACCAGTGCCCATATGAGATACTGGTGCTGCAGGCAAAAGCTTGCCCCCTCTGGCTTCTTTGTTTTTGTTAGTTTAAAAGGCGGAGTTTCATAAAGATTGGAACACACACACACACACAGTGGGAGGAATTCACTCCCCAGATGCCCACAAAGCCTTGGCTGCTTCAGACCAAAGCTGGGAGTCAGGAGCTTCTTCTGGGTCTCCCATGTGGAGGCAGGGGCCCAAGCACTTGGGCCCTCATCTGCTGTTTTTCCAGGCTATTGGTAGGGAGCTGGATGGCAAGTGGAGCACCCAGGTCTAGCACTAGCACCCATGTGGGATCGTAGTGTTGTATGTGATGGCTTTACCCACTTTACCACAGTGCTATCCCCAGAACTCAGACTTTCCCAAGTGTTCATTTTCCTTTAGTTTTGCCTTATGTTCCTGTAAATACTTTCATAATATTTAAACAAAATTGAAAAGGAAAGAAAGCAAATCTTAAATTGAAAAATAGTTGATACTGACAACTTTAAATCTTTTGCTGGGATGAAAAAACTGTAAAGCAATCTTAATTATCCTTTGATAACTCATCAGTAGTGATATGATACTGTAGTGTTACCAATATATGCAATATTTATATGTGGATTGCAGGGTAATACAAATAACTAAGTATGTTCATATTATTAGGAACTAGTATTTTCAAAGTAAGGTAAATTAGATACATGTATAAATTTCAAAGACTTAAATGTTGTAAGGTGTAATTTGAAAATTTGAATTGAAAGTATCAATATGAATTTACTTTTCTAGGAATTTTCTTTTCTTTTTTTCTTTCTTTTTTTTTTTTTTTAAGATTTATTTGTTTCATTTGAAAACCAGAGGTATAGTAAACAAGACAGAAAAAGAATCTTTTGTCTACTGGTTCACTCCGCAAATGGCCACAATAGCCAGGGCAGGGCCAAGCTAAAGCTAAGATCTAGAAACTTCATTGAAATCACTGGGAAAGCAGTTGGGGATGACCTAAAGCCTTGGGATCCTGTACCCACGTGGGAGACCCAGAAGAGATCCCTGGCTCCTGGCTTCAGATTGGCTCAGCTCCAGCTGTTACAGCCACTTGGGGAGTGAACCAGTGGATGTAATATCTTTCTCTCTGTGTATCTGGCTTTCCATTAATTAATTAATTAATTAATTAGTAATATAAATCTTTTTTTTTTTAAGATTTTATTTTTTATTATTTTTTCATTGGAAAGGCGGATATACAGAGAGGAGAGACAGAGAGGAAGATCTTCCGTCCGATGATTCACTCCCCAAGTGAGCGCAACGGGCCGATACTATGCCGATCCGAAGCCAGGAGCCTCTTCTGGGTCTCCCACGCGGGTGCAGGGTCCCAAGGCTTTGGGCCGTCCTCGACTGCTTTCCCAGGCCACAGGCAGGGAGCTGGAAGGGAAGCGGGACTGCCGGGATTAGAACCGGCGCCCATATGGGATCCCGGGCGTGCAAGGCGAGGACCTTTAACCACTTGCGCCACCGCGCCGGGCCCAGTAATATAAATCTTAAAAAGAAAGGAAGTAGTAGTTTTGTGCATCCACACACCTCCAAAATATGGGACATTATATTGTGCAAAACAGTGGATTTATTCCCAAACATGGGAGGGGAGCACTATTGTAGATTAAAAAGGTTTTAGAGACATAACAATGCTGTGTATGCTTTATGGTAATATCCCACTAAAAAGATATTTTGGAAATAAGATATTTAGGTGTGGGCTGGATATCAGATAACAGGGAATTATTTTTAATTTTATTCAGCTTTTTAAAGGCAGAATTAGAGAGAGAGAGAGAGAGAATCCCCTTATTTACTCTCCAAATGGCCACAATGTCCTGAGCTGGTCCAGTTTGAAACCAAGAGCTTATTCCAAGTCTTCCACGTGGGTGCAGGGTCCCAAGGACTTGGGCCATCTTTCATTGCTTTTCCAGGCACATTGGCAGGGAGCTGATTTGGAAGTGTAGCAGCCAGGACTTGATCCAGTGCCCGTATGCGATGCCAAGGCTGCAGGTGGTGGTTTTAGCCGCTATTCCATAGTGCTAGTCCCCAAAACTTTTCTTTTGTTTTAGAGACCTATATCTAAGTAGAGGTGATTTACTTCATAATATTTAAAGAACTTTAACTGGAAGAAATAAATAAATATGGCAAATTGTTAATGTATTAAGTCTAGGAGATGGGTGTATGAGTGTTGACTGCATTTGGCAACTACCTTTTTTTTTTTAAGATTTATTTATTTATTTATTTTTAAAGATTTATTTTTATTATTGGAAAGGCAGATATACAGAGAGGAGAGACAGAGAGGAAGATCTTCCGTCCGATGATTCACTCCCCAAGTGAGCGCAATGGGCCGATACTATGTCAATCCGAAGCCAGGAGCCTCTTCCGGGTCTCCCACGCAGGTGCAGGTTCCCAAGGCTTTGGGCCGTCCTCGACTGCTTTCCCAGGCCACAGGCAGGGAGCTGGTTGGGAAGCGGGGCTGCCGGGATTAGAACCGGCGCCCATATGGGATCCCGGGCGTGCAAGGCGAGGACCTTAACCACTTGCGCCACCGTGCCAGGCCCGGCAACTACCTTTTTAAAGATACATTTGAATATGTCCATAGTATAAAGTTTAGAAACGGAACATACAAAACAAAAAAAAGAAAACAGGAAATGTGACTTGTCAGTCACAGGAAGAGTAAGTTGGCTTTGACTTGGGTTGAAAACCTGACTCTTGGGTTCTTTCCTCATGTGTCTTTTTTTCCCCTCTTCCCCTTGTCCTTATCCAGCCCTGTTTGACTCCATGCACAGCAACCAGGCCTCAGATGGCCCATTTTCACCACCCCGTGCTCTTCATTCGCCTCCGCTACAGCTCCGGCAGCGCTCTGAGAAGCCCCCTTGGTGTAAGTAACCCTTCTAGAACTGTCCAGATAAGGATCAAAAGGCACAGAGGAACTGGCTGGATGAGGAACCTGTCACATAAAGGAAAAGAAAATAAGGGCTGAAGGCCCAGGGCTGTCCCTTCAGTTGTTTCCAACACAAGGCAGTATTTGTCAGCACACTCTTCACCTCTGACCTCCTAGTCCTTGAAGAAGCTCCTGAAAGATGACAGAGGACAACCCTTTTGGGCAAAACAGGATAGGGGCTTCATTCTTCCCAGGCCCTCTTTTGTCTCTCCTGTGGACGAGTCAGGAAGGGAGCCTACATGTATAAAGCACTAGGAACAGGAGACTAGAACCTCTCAACATTATCTTCAGTTGGTGGTTCGAGTTGGCAGTGCTGTTTATTTTTCCTTTTTTCTGTATCATCTCTAACACATCCTAAGTATACTTTAAAAATATTTATTTATTTATTCTTAAAGATTTATTTCATTTTTATTGCCAAGTAAGGTATACAGAGAGGAGGAGAGACAGAGGGGAAGATCTTCCATCTGATGATTCACTCCCCAAATGAGTGCAACAGCCAGTGCTGCTGATCTGAAGCCAGGAGCCAGGAACTTCCTTCAGGTCTCCCACACAGGTGCAGGGAGACTGCTTTCCCAGGCCACAAGCAGAGAGCTGGATGGGAAGTAGAGCTGCTGGGATTAGAACCGGTGCCCATATAGGATTCTGGCACGTTCAAGGCGAGGACTTTAGCCACTAGGCCACCACACCAATTTATTTATTTTTGTTGGAAAGTCAAATATACAGAGAGGAAGATCTTCTGTCCATTTATTCACTGCTTAAGTGGCCGCAACAGCGGGAGCTCAGCTGATCAGAAGCCAGAAGCTTCTGGGTCTCCCACACAGAGGCAGGTCCCAAGGCTTTGAGCCATCCTCAACTTCCACGATTATAACTGGCGCCCATATAGGATGCTGGCATGTCCAAGGCAAAGACTTTAACTGCTACTATACCAGGCCCCTTCCTAAGTGTTCTCGATAATAGTACAAACCCTACTGTTTTTAGGGTGATGGTAGGGTGGGAGAGATGAGCTGGAGGCACTAGTAAAGGAAGATGCTTACCATGCTGCCTCTAGGGGATCACTGGAATCCCATGAACCTCATGACTGTACTTAGATATGACTCAAGCAAGATGTTTTCAGCATAGAGGTTACCAGCTGCAGAATTTTGGCATTCATCATGTGCCATGGGTGAGGAAGTAACTGTCCTCCTTGACATCAAGAATTTCCCATAGGGGCAAGGAAGGAAGGGATCGGTGGTGTAGAAAGCTAATCCTCTGTCTGTGGTGCAGGCATCCCAAAAGGCATCAGCTCATGTCCAGCTGCTCCATTTCAATCCAGCTCCCGGGAGGTGGTATGGGAAAGCAGCGGAGAATAGCCCAGGTCCTTGGGCCCCTGCACCCACATGGGTTTTGCGCCATCTTTCACTGCTTTTCTAGATCATAAACAAGGAGCTGAATGGGAAGTGGAGCCACTGAGATTTGAACCTGTGCCCATATAAGATGCTAGTGCCATATCCAGAAGCTTAGCTTAGCATACCATGCTGCCCCTCCCTTTTTTCTTGTTGTTTAAAATTAAGTTTACTTATTTGTTTGAAAGAGTTATACAAAGGGAGAGAGAGAGAAAGAAAAAGAGAGATCAGTCTCTCTACTGCTTCACTACCCAGATGCCTGTAAAGATTTGACTGGGCCAGGCCAAATCTGGGAACTTGGATCTTCCTCTAGGTCTCCCACATGGGTGCAGAGGCCCAAGCACTTGGGCCAACCTCTGCTGCTTTTCCAGATCATTAGTAGAGAGCTAGATCAGAATTAAAGGGAAATTGGGCCCAGTGCTGTGGCCTAGTGGCTAAAGTCCTCGCCTTGAATGTGCCAGAATCCCATATGGGCACCAGTTCTAATCCCAGCAGCTCCACTTCCCATCCAGCTCCCTGCTTGTAGCCTGGGAAAGCAGTCAAGGACGGCCCAAAATCTTGGGACACTGCACCCGCACCCGCACAGGGGACCTAGAGGAAGTTCCTGGCTCATGGCTTTGGATCAGCGCAGCACCAGCTGTTGTGGTCACTTGGGGAGTGAATCATTAGACAGAAGATCTTCCTCTCCAACTCTCCTCCTCTCTGTATATCTGACTTTGCAATAAAAATAAATAAATCTTTAAAAAAAAGAGTTAAAGGGAAATAAATATTTGTTCTATCTTTTCAAGGAGGACTGAAGAATTATGGTTTTGGTGCTCTTAGAAATCTTGTTCTTCTCCCTTTACGGTTTGTCTTACCCATTGAATCTATCTAAATCAGACCATTCACTGGATATTCAGGCTACTTCTATATTTGTGTAAAGCTCAGCTTACACCTTTTTTTTTTTTTTAAGATTTATTTATTTGAAAGGCAGAATTAGAGACAGATTTTCCATTCTTGGTTCACTTCCCAATGCCTTACTGGCCAGGGCTGGGCCAGGCAGAAGCCAGAGGCTTGAAACTAACTTTATCCAGGTTTTCCACATGGGTAGCGGAAACCAAAGATCTTGGCCATGTTCAGCTTTCTCAGACCTTCTCAGGGAGCTGGAACAGAAGTGGAGTAGCTAGGACTTGAACTGTAGCCCATTTGGAATGCTGGCATTGCAGACAGTGGCTACCCTCTGTACCACAATGGCAGCTCCTAGGCTTACATCTTTATCTTTTCCATCTCATCTGCCACCTTTGACTTATAATTAGTTGTATATACTCATTGGTAAACATCATCTTTGTATTCAACTTGTCTGACCAGAAATAGTCTTTGTATGATTTTCAAGCCCATTAGTCTAAAACCATGTTCCTCAAGAGAAATCTTCTACCTGCTAGTTCACTTCCCAAATACTCACAGCAGGCAGGCTGGGCCAGGCAGAGGCAAGAAACTCAATTTTAGTCCCCCTGTGGGTGGCAGGGACTCAAGTACTTGAACAATTATCTGCTGCCTTCCCAGAGTATGCATTAGCGGGGAACTGGAATTAAAGTAGAGGTAGGGCCTGGCGCAATGGCTCAATGGTTAAATCTTTACCTTGCAAGTGCTGGGATCACATATTTTTTCCGGTTTGTGACCCAGCTACTCCGCTTCTGATCAAGCTCCATGCTAATGGCTTGGGAAAGCAATCAAAGATGGCCTAGGGACCCTGAACTCACGTGGGAGACTCAGAAGAAGTTCCTGGCTTCTGGCTTCGGATCAGCTCAGCTCTGGCCGCTGTGGTCACTTGAGGAATGAACCAGTGGGTAGATGATCTCTGTCTCTCCTCTCTGTCAATATGATCTACCTTTTCAATAACAATAAATAATTCTTAAATAAATAAGCATTAAGAAAAAGGAGAGTAGCTAGCACTTGAATCTAGGCTCCAGTGTGAGACATGAGCATCCCAAATGGCATCTTTTAAAAATATTTATTTATTTATGTATTGGAAAGGCAGATATACAGAGAGAAGGAGATAGAAAGATCTTCCATCTGCTGCTTTACTCCCCAAGTAACTGCAACAGCCAGAGCTGAGCCAGTCTAAATCCAGGAGCTTCTTCCAGGTCTCCCAAGTAGGTGCAGGGTCCCAAGGCTTTGAGCCATCTTTGACTGCTTTCCCAGGCCACAGGCAGGGAGCTATGTGGGAAGTGGAGCAGTCAGCATGAGAACAAGCACCCATGTGGTATCCCAACATATGCAAGGCAAGGTCTTAACCCAGTAGGCTATCGTGCCAGGCTGGCACCCTATGTGGCATCCTAAGCACTGTGCCAAGTGTCTGCCCCCAAGTTTCTCTTTTTTTTGTTCTACCTATGGTCTGCCTCCTCTGACTCTTTATAGTCTGTAACCAATGTGCATTAAACTCAATGACTGATTGAGCCCTTGCAGGTTCAGGCTTGCCAACTTTTCTAGATTCTTTAATGAAAATATACTGTGTTCTTTGCTTTATAATCTTTCATATTATAATGCTATAATTGCTGTTACAATGCCATCGATTTAGAGGATATTTGCAAAGTGAGAAGTAGGGTGCCCCCCTTTCAGAGGTCAATAAAGAGTTCAGTCTCTCTTACCTGAAGACATTAGTATTACAGGTTAGTAGTATAGGCTTTTCATTCTAGCATCTGAACCATATGGATAAGATGAAGCCTGTTCCCACAGCTTCTCTGATTTGGTCTTCTAATTTTGATTTACAGACAGTAGTGGTCCTTCTAGCACAGTGTCCAGTGCTGGTCCTTCCTCTCCTACTACAGTGGATGCCAACTCCCAGTTTGCCTTCAGTGATCAACCCACCCTAAATTCACATGTGACTGAAGAATGCCAAGGCCTTGGAATGCTTCCCTCTGGAGCTGGAGCACAAGAGCTCCTCACAGAAGGGGAGCAAGAGCTTTCTGATCCAAACCAGTCTCTGCAGCAGCCACCTGTTGACACCAGCCAGCCATGCTCAGAAGTTGCTGAGAAAACCAGCCAGCCATGCCCAGCAATCCCTGCCATCAGCCAGCCATACCAGCAGGGATGTGACAGTGTTAAGCAGCCATGTCCTATGACCAACCAGCTGTGTCAGAAAGTCTCTGAGGAAGTTTGCCAGCCTTGCCAGGAGAACCCTCAGAACGTCAGCCATCTGTGCCCAGGGGTCCCTGTGGAGCTTGGCAAAATGGCCCATGGGTTCCCCATGGAGGTTGGAGACCAGGTCCAAGAAACTTTTGTGGAGGTCAACAGGTCAAACCAGGAAATCCCTGAGGAGTTTAATCAGCCCTGCCAGGAGTTCTTTGTGGAGGTTAGCAGGCTGGCCCAGGAGGCTGCTGCAATCAATCTTTGGTCTCAGGATATCCCTGAGGTTGATAAACCATCTCGACAATTCCCGGGAGAGGTCAATCCCCAGGCCCAGGAGGCTCCTGACAAGGTTAATCAGCAGTCCTGGGTGGTCCCTGAGGTCCCTGACCAGCTGCCTGGAGAAGATGCTCCCCAGGCCCATCCTACACCCACTGACCCCAACCCTCAGAGCCTGTCTTAAGCCCATGATCAGCAGTCACCAGCAAAATACAATCAATCGTTTCCTCATTAGTGGGATCATGCTTTACTAGCCATTTGAGCCGGCATCCTTTTCTGATGGCTGGCTCACTGGCCATTAGGAAGCGTTTGCTCTGCCCAGAAGTGTCTGAGAAAGCAGTCCTCTGGGCATGAAGCATACCCGTGTCAGCGTTGTGCTGCAAGAGAAGTCAACATCACATTCAAAGGAGCTATTAGCTCCTCGCCTGATGGTTGAACTGGATAGGGTTTCCTTGGGTTGGGCTGCTCTGTCATGCCACCTTCTCAAAGCAGCAAAGGAAATCCAACATGGTTGAAACCCACATGGTTGAAAGGAAATGCCACTTAACTGCTAAAGAGACACCATTGTACAGAAGGCACAGCAAATGCAGAAGAGGTGACTCCAGGGTCATCACTTTTCACAACTTCTCAAAGCATCCTCAGACCATCTGTGCTTTTAGGGGGACTCTTGTCTTTGCTAGCACTCCTCAGGTGGGCCCAGGATAGCTGTCTGAAATGCCTGGAGAATAGAGTCCCCTTTCCAAACACTTGTCATGGCTACTAATATTTTGACTGGTTTTCTGGGTGTTTCAATGTCATCTCCCAAGCATACCAACTGCCCTTGTCCTTTTTTTCTGGACAATAGCTGTAAGGTAAAGTAGGTATTAGATTGCTGTGCAAATTTCCAAGCAACTACTTAAAATGCTCTAGGGGATTCATGGCCAATCTGTGAAGCAGGACCTCCTTCTGTTGCAAGGCCATTTGCATTCAGAGATAATGTAGAGGAGAGAAATCAGGTTCTATTTTAAGTAATCAGTAGAGATCAATACTGTACAGACATGAGCAGAGATTTAATATATATAGAAAGAGAGAGAAATATATATATTTCTGTAGTTGTGCCAGGGACCGACTGGCCAAAGACCAAACACTCCAAGGCCCCCATTAAGTAAGTTCATCTTTACGTGATGCATCTTCAGGGTCAGATGTGATTATGAAGCTTTTCCCAAAGATCTGGGGATGGGAATGGGGGAGGGCAGGAGAAATGATGCCATCATTAGAGCTGAGGGGATGGAACATTATGAGTGTTCAATAAACATAAAGTCATGAGAAGTGGTGGTGGTAATGTCCTTTTGAATTTATAACGAACTTGACTGTGAGTCTGTGGCAGTTAATCAGCATCAGCCACAAACCATTATGGTTGTTGTTATGGTTTAGCTGGAATGAACTTTAAAATATGTAGAGATCAGGCATCCCAGACAGCTAACCATCCCCTTAATGCTGAGAGTATGGAGGTGAGGGTTATGAAGCACCAGAGTACTCACTGAGACCTTGGAATCACCATCTTAATTTTTTTTTAAGGTTTATTATATTGGAAAGGCAGATTTATAGGGAAAAAAAGAGACAAAGATCCTCTGTCCACTGGTTAACTTTCCAAGTGGCCTCAACAGCTGGAGATGAGCTGATCCGAAGCCAGGAGCCAGGAGCTTCTTCCGGGTCTTCCATGCAGATGCAGGGTCCCAGGGCTTTGGCCTGTCCCTGACTGTTTTCTCAGGCCACAAGCAGGGAGCTGGATGGGAAGTGGAGCAGCTGGGACAGGAATTGGTGCCCATATGGGATCCCGGCACATTCAAGGCGAGGCTTTAGCAACTAGGTTATTGTGCCAATCCCATTTTTTAAAAAGATTTTTTAATTTTACTTGAAAGAACTAGAAAAAGAGACAGAACTTCCAACCACTGGTTCATTCCCAAATAGTACAATGGACAGAGCTGGCCCAATCTGAAGCCAGGAACCAGTAGCTTCTTCTGGGTTTCCCATGTGGCTGCAGGGTCTGAAAGACTCAGGACATAAGCAAGGAGCTGGATAGGAAGTGGAGCAGCTGGGACACAAACTGGCACCCATATGGGATGCCAATGCCACAGGATTAATTTGCTATGCCACCTCTCTGGCCCCAATAATTTTTCATCCTAATGCTTAGTATCCAGAGTTCATACAAAGGATAGGTCCTGGGCCCAACACAATGTTCAATGGCTAAATCTTCACCTTTCAAATGCCAGGATCCCATATGGTTGCCAATTCATATCCCGGCTGCTTCACTTCCCATCCAGCTCCCCGCTTATGGCCTTGGAGAGCAGTGGAGGATGCAGGCCCTAAAGCCTTGGGACCCTAAACACATGTAGATTGCCCAGAAGTCCTTGGCTTCTGGCTTCAGATCGACTCAGCTCCAGCTGTTGCAGCCATCTGGGGAATGAAGCATCAATGAAGGATTTCTCTCTATGTTCTATAAATCTGCCTTTCTATAAAAACCAAATATATTTTTAATAAAAGCTAAAAAAAAAAAGGCTATGTCCTCTCTGTACCTCTTTGAAACCTTTTCATTGGGATAACTCAGAACACTGGTACAACCAAACCCTCCCCATGTGTGCACATTCCTGGCCACTTCTGACATACCAGTCTGTGCAGGGTTTCACTAACAGAGGGAAATTAACGTTTACTCCATGGAAATCCTTATTACACATTGAGAGGTGTTTCCAACCTCTATAAGCTCCAAGGGCCCCCAGCTCCTTACCTCTGATGTCTTCATCTTCTTGCTTGTCTGGTTCTCAAGGATTACAGATCTCAATCCCAGAAGGCCCTCTTCTCCTCCCTCCCCCAAAGCAAGCAGATGTACCCATCCCAGGCACTTAGTCCCCATACTCAAGAATTCGCACCCATTTTCAGCAATGGTGCTGACTCCCCTACCTTTTCACCCAGTCTCTTACTGTGGCTCCCTTGGGTCCTGGAACTATTTCCAGCAATCAGAAAAGGGTCCCAAGATGAAAGACAATGCTGTTTGAAGGTGAGAGGTGGAAGCCAGGGTCCAGAAACTAAGATACAGGCAGAGTCAGAAAAAGCCGAAGCAGCACCACACCGTCTGCAATGAACTTGATTTATTGTTAGAGTCGGAGGCAGCTCCAATACAGCAGCTGGGAACTATAGCAGGGAAGTGTAGGGTGGAGCAGAGCGCAGCAGCACGGGAGGGGTGGGAGCTGGGAAGAACATAGGTGGCCTCATTTTGGTTTTCCAGTTGTTTGGCAGAGAAGGCAAGCCCAGATGACGATCAGCACCTGGGTTTCTCAGTCCAGCAGGAGTCTGGCAGGGCTGCTCGCCGGCTTGCTTGGGGTAAAGTCTTCTCCTGGAGTGTTAGTTTCAGCCTATTTCCATTTTTCTCTGTAGCAGCTTGAGCTGTAGCTCAACTGTCTCTTTCCTTCCTTCCCTCTTCCCCAAGTCATCTGGTTTGGCCTCTACCTCCCAGAGCCACTGTCCAAGGACTGAGTTTGAAGAGGAGCCAGCGTTCCCATATCAGCTGCAGGATGGCATAGTGGAATGCTGGGGGTTGGGGGAGTCACACATCGCTAGGGTGTTAGATGTTGGGATGTCAAGCAGTGGCTTATTTTTAACCCATTACACACCAGGCCACAGCAGATGACCACATGCAGAGAAGCCAAGCAGGGGATGAGTAGGTATCAGGGTTGTTGGGATGAGATGGGTGAAAATTCAAAGGGATCAAGGAGCTGGGAAGAATTGAGGGATTGGGGCTGGGCTCTCCTCATCTTTTTGTACTGCCCAGTAAGCCTGGTCTAGGCACAGCCCTAGGATGTGAATGGTTTGGAACAGGGATGGAAAGAGAAGCTCCTCTTTCTTCTCACCAGTCTGTTGGTCTTAACAGCTTCAAGTTTTAGACTGAGACATTCAGGTACTGAAAGAAGCAGCAGTGTACCCCAGACCCTTGCTAGAAGCCAGATCCTAATGGGAAGAGGAAGGGGTAAAGCTCTGGGCACCTCACAGACAGTATCGTATCCTCAGGTCATATACGTTGTTACTAGAGATCATTTCTGGGGTGCTAAATAAATAGATTGGGATAAAGATGTCCCTGGGGTGGGGAAATCTGACTGTTGCCCCATGAGGAAGGAGGCTGCTCTCTGAGACCCATCCTGTCTCTCCATCTAATATTAGCAATGGGCAGTGCTAGGAGAGGGTCACACTCCAGGGTTCTTGGGCACTAGATGACCTCCTACTCTAGTTTTTTGTCCTCTCTCTACCCTACCCTTCTTACCTTTAGCTTTGAGACCCCTCTCAGGAATGGATGAGGGAGAGGACAACCCCTTCCACATAGCCCAGCCTAAGCCCCACCATGATACATCCTTGTTCACTGCCCCAGCTCCCATCTCCCTTAACCCCAGAGGGAGGTCTCAGCAGCAGCCATTCTCTAAAGGAGCTAGGGCAGTGGGGGAAGCAGATCCTTGGGGAATGGATAGTGGCTTTTTCAGAACTCAATCTTGCACGCTGGGAAGGACTCATCCTGCATGACCACAGTGCTGCTGCTGGCCAGAACCAGGACGTTCAGCTGCTGTTGCTGCTCGTGTGTCTGCTGGTACCACTCACGGGTCACCTCTGTGTCATGAGTAGGGATCAGAGTCACCTGGAAGGGAGACAGGACATGCCTGACATGAGGCCATCGAGAAGGTAAGTGAGGTGGGAAAGGCACTGGTAGAGTAGGGGCCACAGCCACTGCTGCCTCCAAAAACCATGGGCAGCTGCTCACCTGGAGGTTCTCTCCCCACTGGGCCTTGCCCTCCAGCAGGGCATCCAGCACAGCCCGGCTTGGCTCACCATTGGTGGGATCGTTGCCACTGACCACATAGTAGGATGCGCGCACTCGACGGAAGAAGTCAAGGTCGACAGTCTTGCCGCTGCAGTGGTTTGGGATATAGGCAAGATCCACGTACACAGGGGAGCCAGAGCCACCCTTAGAACCTAAGGCTGCTGTGGAGACAAGCCAGGATAAATTGCCAATCTTTCCTGTCTCTTCTCCCCCTGCACCCTCCCCCCCGTGGAGTTTCTGTCCAGCCCCCAGCCAAGTCCCAGCCCACAATCCTTCTCATAATCTACTTACTCTGTCCTGCCTTGAGTCCATTGACCAGGCCCTTGGACATGGGGCTGTGTCCATCCTTTTCTTCTGCTGGAGCGACCTGGCTTGGAGTGCTGCGTGGCCGAGGCAGGACCCGGGTGGCTCGGTCTGTAGGTCCTTTGCCGGGAGTGGGTGATCGTTTTCCCCGAAGATCCGGACGCCGTGCAGGGGATGCTGGTTTGGCCTTGCTAGGGGCCCTGCGCCCAACCCGCCCCTGAACCTTTTCCTTCTCCCGTAGCCTATCTGCTCTCCCAGTCTCTGAGCTGAACCCCTCGGGGTCAGCCATGCATACATCAGGGCGGGGAGGGGATGGGCGGGGGTCTGGCTGGGGGAGAGGGGGTGGGTCATGACCAGGCCTGGGATGGTGAGCTCCACTGACCCCCCCGGCTTTGTCCACAGGTAGGAAGTCCCCATCCTCGTCTGAGTCTAGGGCTGCTTCGGCTGTGATGGATGGGCACTCCTCAGTTTCTGGTGGGACATCAGAATCTGACTGGGAGGAGCCTGAGTCGCTAGCTGACGTGGGGGGCGTTTCATCAGCCACAGGGCATGGACCCCCAGGGGCTCCTGGCCCCCCTGCCCGGCGTCTCCCCCCTCTCCCTACCAGCCGAGCTTCCTCAATTGAGAGGTCGCTGTCATCTGTGGATGGTGGCAGGGGAGGATTCAGGAAAGATGGGGAGAGCTCCCCACGGTGGGGCCAGGGCTCAGCAGCACAGCCCTGGGGCCCAGCCTCCACCTCAGGAGACATGCTGTGGGTAGGGTCCCCGGCATCTTCTCCAGGACACAGTGGTTGCTCTGCAGAGGGCAGTGTGTCAGGCCTGGAACACCGCTCAGCTCCCTCAGGCCAGGCCCCTCGTTCCCAGGAAGGACAGGCCTCAGCCTCTTCTTTCTCAGCCTTGGATATGGCAGGGCCTGGTGGCTGGGGGCTGGTTTCAGTTGGTCCATTGGCTGCTCGGTCATCAGGGGGACCCTGGGAGGGGCCTGGCTTCTTAGTGTCTGCCCCTGAACACTCCAGGTGATAAGGCAGGCTGCTGTCATCTATGTCTCCAGACAGGTTTAGAGCCGGGGCTGGCACCGAGGCCAGGGAAGAAGAGGGTGCTGTGCTCAGAGCAGTGCGATCCCAGAGGCTCTGGGCAGCTGGTTCCAAACCCAGGGCCAGCTGCCCAGACCCCTGTTCTGCAGCGTCCAGGCCTGGAGGGAGACGCTCAGCCACACTTGAAATCACAGGAGTGGTAGCCTCAGAGGAGGAGCCTTCAGACAGGGCTGGTGAGGCAGGTCGTGGCAGGTCGGAAAGAAGAGGGGCTCCAGGAGAGCTGGGTGATGGGAGCTGGGGCAGTGAGGAGTCCAGACTGGGGGCCTTGGTCACTTCCAGGTACTCATCATGCCGGGCTCTGGTGGGAGGACCTGGAGCCAGAGCCAGGGCTCGGTCCCCAGAGAAGGCAAGGGAGCCACAGGGAGCTGAACGGGGTTCGGCTGGAGAGGGCAGCTGTGGGGGGGCTGGCTGCAATGAGGAGAAGCCAAAGGCAGAAGCAGGGAAGTCCAGGTTGGGTCGGGCAGGCCCCATCTGTGAGTTCAATGAAGGACTAGCGTGTGCCTGGCTCTCAGGCCACAGGGTTGGGGATGCTGCAGGCGCAAGGTGAGGGGGGCTTGGGGACTGGGCCTCTTTCTCCGGCCGTTCCCGAGCCCCCTTTTCCAGCTCCGAGTCACTAGCACTGTCATCCCAGGGACTCTGGCCAGATTCCTTGGGAGATGGGGTCCTCCTCTCTGGGCTGCAGCTTAGAATGTTACCATTAAGAGGGGGGCTCGGACCTTTGCTCAGGGGGACAGGGGCACGAGGGGGCACTGCAGGTGGAGAGAGGTTGGGCTGCACACTTGGCCCTGGCTCAGGCTCCTGCCGGGGGGGTACGGTGGGTCCCACAAGGGCTGCATAGCTGAAGGTTGCAGTGTCTGGTTGGAGGCTCTTGGGTGAGACAGGAGATGAAAGCTCCTTCTCTGCAGGTGTGTCGCGGCCAGCAGCCTCTTCCTTAGTTGAGAGGCGCAGGGGCCAATCCCCAGCTGCTCCGAGGGGCGGCTCCCTCGTGGGACACGCAGGGCCAAGCCCGGTGAGCATCATTTGCTCATAGATGTCTGCGTACTGAAAGCTCCTCTCGTCAGGATATGGAGTGGGCTCTCTCTGCTCAGGTTCAGTCTGCTCGGACTCCCTGGGAGCGTGGCTCCCGCTGGCTTCTACAGCCTTAGGGCCCTGGAGGCTGCTGTCAGGGGCTTCCATGTCACCTTCTTCCCCTTCCCCTTCAGCCTTTCGGTAGTCCTTCCCCAGAGGGGAGTATGGGCCACCTTCCAATTCCGCTGCCCCCTCCTGCACTGCAGCTACCACACTGTCATACTCGGCTTTGCCCCAGCTAAAGGGTGCGGGAGAGTGTGGTTCTGGGGCAGGTGTAGGGGAAGCTGGAGCTGGGGAAAGCGGTGCCGGGGGCATGGGCCTGTCCTTGGGCACCCACGGTGGGATGTCAGCCAGCCATGAAGGTGTGGCAGGCTCATTCCTCAGGGGTGACACAGGCTTAGGCTCTGGGCTGGGGCTGTCTTGCCCTGGGGCCGGAGGAACCCTCTGTGCAGCCATTTCAGGTGGGGAGGTAGGAGGGGAGATGATCTCGAAGGGAGAGCGGGTCAACTTGTCTTCTTCCTCTGGTGGCAGTTCAACAGGTGATTCAGCGAGCCAGCGCTCCACCTCTAGGCCCTTCCGCGGGGAGGGCTCCTGGAGATCCTTGAAGTCTGAGGTCCAGGGGCTCCGGGGTGTGCGTCCCAGTGGGGACGCTTGCCGCTCGTCATCTGGGCCCTCATCCAGGAAGGTGCTCTCACGTTCCTCGGGGTAGCGTGGACGAGCCCCCTGGCTGTCCAGTTCATGAGGGAACCATACCTTCCGTTCACAGCTCAGTTCTCTCCAGTAGGCATCCTGTTCCAGGCCTACATCCTGCTGTCCCCTCCAGTACCTGACCTCCTGCTCCGGAGAAGTGTCTCCCCAGGCCGGAGCAGGCTCCTTCAGCTCCCCGGCTGGCTCCCCTTTGGCTGGAGCTGTTTCTTGCCACTCCTGGACCACAACATGCTCCTTCCAGTACTTTTCTTCCTGCTCTGGGGACTTGCCTTGCTGCCCTATATTCTCTTCCAGCTCTAGGACTTTGGTCTTTCCTAGTGGAGCTTCTTCTTTCCGTTCCACAGCCTGGACCTTTTCCTGGGACTTTTCCCCTGGGATCTCCTTCAGCTTCATGGTTTCTTCCTCCTGCACCAGGCTCTCCTGCTGCCTGTGGGCTTTGCCCTCTTCCAGAGCCCGGTCTTTCCATTCAGCAGCCATAGTAATCTGTTCCCAGGCCCTCTCCTCCTTTCCCAAAGCTTGGCATGGTTGTTCTAAAGCATGAGCCTTTTCTTCTAAGGCCTTATCTCTCTGTTCTTCAGCCCTGACTTTCTGAGCAGGGGCTGTGTCTACGTGTTCTAAGGTCTTATCCTTTGGTTCAGGGACCTTGTCCTGCAGAGTCATGTCTTTATGTTCAGTGTCCTGGGCTTTTTGTCCTAAAGCTTTGTCTTTCTCTTCTGGAATCTTCTCCTTCTGCTCTAAATCTTTGTCCCTCTGTTCCAGCACAGTGCCCTTTTGTTCTAAGGCCCTCTCTTTCTCTCCAGGGATCTCAGCTTTCAGTTCAAGGACCTTGTCTTTGTGTTCTAAGTCTTTGTCTTCTAGCCCCAAGACCTTGCCCTTATGTTCCAAGGTAGCGTCCTTCTGTGCTAAGTCTCTGCCTGTTTGTTCTAAAGCTCTGTCCTGCTGCTTCATGGCTTTGTCCTTTTCATCCACTATCTTTTCTTTCTGCCAGGTGGCTGTGTCCTTGTGCTTTTCAGTGACATCCTCCAGCTGCAGAATGTCATCCTTTGGCTCAGGTCCCTTGTCCTTCTGCTCTGGGGTACTGTCTTTCAACCTTAGAGCTTTCCCTTCCCACTCCATGATGATGTCCTCCATGGCTGGGCTTGGGAAGGACTCAAGACTCCTGGTGATGGAGCTCTCAGGTGTTATAATGTGTTCACCAGGGCTTGAGAGCACCCCAGGTGATTGCTTCTCATCACCTGACAGTGGAGGATGAAAGGAGGAACTAGCAGGTGACTTCCTGTCAGGACTCTCATCCCTGAGGTCTGGGATGTCACTGGGAGGTGACAGTGTGGCTGTGTGAGGCTCTGGAATAGGAGAAGGAGATAAGAGGTGAGAAGCATCCTCAGCCTGCATCAGGGGTCCCCTTTCATCCTTTCCAAGGCTTAGTTCCCCAAACTGGAGGGTTCCAGTTCCAAGGCTTTCTGGAGAGAGCTGCTTTGAGGAGATATCCAGAGACGTCTCCTTGCTAGGACTGTCTTCGGAGAGGGAAAGTGACTGAGTGTCTTGTGGCGATGCCTCTGGCCAAAAGTCTTTGTGTAGACGCTGCTCTGTTGGGCCAGAGGGAGACCTGGGAGTGGGCTCTTGGTTGGCAGTGTCTGGGGAGACCACACTGAGGACAGAGAGGGACTCTGCATCTTCAGGAGAGAGGCTCTGGCCAGGAAACCCAGGGACCTTGTCTTTCTGAGGTTCACTGGATTCTTGAAGTGGCGGCCTCAAATCTCCAGCAAGAGTCTTCATTCCCAGAATGGGACCTGTGGGCTCTCCTGCCTCTGTGGTCTCCAATTCTGCTGCCCTGCCCTGATCTGGCAGCAGTGGACTGGTGTGGCCTGAGTGTTCCCCTGCAGTGCTGACAGTTGCTACTTGGGCCTGGGGGCTCCTGGGAGGAGACACCTTTGCCTCCTTTCCCCCTGTGCCCTCTTCAGGCCCTGGCTTGGTTACCTCCTTTGCAGCACCTTCCTTGGCCGCACCTGGTGTGGGCTTTGTGTCCCCCCACGAATCCTCGTCCTGAAAGTCTTGGGGCTCAGACTTTTCTTCCACAGGGGACTGATGAAAGGGCGTGTGGGTGGCACTGGGGGGGCCAGATGGCGGCGGGGAGGCCATCTTCACGGTGCTGTCATCAGGGCTGAGGCACCGCTCTTCCACCTCTCCCAGGGCTGGCTCCCCATGCAGGGCATGCCCGGGGGCTCCGAACATCGGGGCGCCGTACTGACGGCGAAGTTTCTCTGCCATCTCTACATGTGCCGTTCCTTCTTCCTCTTCCACGGCTCTCTCTCCAGGCAAGGCTCTCCCCACCACCTCTCCTCTCTTGTCTGACTCACCAGTCACAGAAAACTCCTCATAGGGTGGAGACTTGAAGCCCTTGTCTTCCTCCAACGAGGAGGTGGGTGAGATGGTCCCAGCTGATGGCACATAGTCCAACCCCTGAGTGGCCTCAGTGCGTGAGGAGGGGATACTAGTGACCGTGTCAAGCAGCAAGGAGCTCTTGCCTGTCTCCTCTGTCTGAGGAGCTGTGAGTGAGGCCACAGATTGGTCCTCAGCCACAGATGTGGCGAAGGAAGAAAGCTTGTCACACTCCGTGATAGAAGTGGCTGAGGACACGTGCTCCTCTTCAGCCAGCGGGGCAGCCACCAGGTTGGAAGGATAGGGGAGTTCAGTCTCTGGTGCCCCATAGCCCTTGCTAGAGGTAACAGGAATGACGCTGTCCACAGGCTGGCCAGCTTCAAAGGAGCCGGCACCTTCAGGCCCAGGGAGATCAAAAGTACTTGGGGGGAACCTAGGTGGCGCCGGCCGCTCCTCGGGCTCATCATGGATCTCCTCATCTGAGATGGTTTGTTCGGTCTCTGAGTAGCCAGGGATTGTCTCGTCCTGGATGTAGGAGACATGTTCGGTGGCCCCTGCGGGGGTGGCCAGGCTGCTTAGGAATGACGAGGTCTCCTTCTCGGGGGCCCTGGCCTGGAGACCCGGTTCCCGGCCCTCAGGAGCTGCTTTACCTATGGGAGTCACCTTCAAAGCTTCCTGCATGTGTTTTTGATAAAAGCCCTCAGCCTTCGTCTCTTCCTCCTCCTCTTCGTCTGAAGGGTGTGCCTCCTCCATGTCTTCTAACTCGGCCTTTTCGATCACATCCTCCTTCACCTCGGGCTCGCTTTCCTCTCTGGCTTCTGGTCTGTCTGGGAGCCTCTCGGCATCCGGCTGCTTCTTTTCCTCACAGGTCTCTTTCTCTTCCTCTGTTTCAGCCCCAGAATCTGGGCCCCTGTCCTTGCTGCCTTGCACCCCAGGGACTTCTGGAACAGCTTCCTTCTCTACCACCCGTTCCTCTGCTTCCTGCTCTGGGACACAGGGCTGTGGTCCCTCGAGAGTTGTGCTGGGGAGGCCCTCCTCTACCGACTCCATAGGGGACAGTTTCGCTCCCAGCCCCGGGTCCCTTTGTTCAGCCAGCAAAGCCCTCTCTTCCCGCTTCAGGTCCTCAAAATCCTGCGTGAGGTCCTCCGGGGAGGACAAGGCCAGTTCCCGGTTCCCACTGACGGCAGGGAGTGGCCCAGTTCCCTTCTGGGCCGGGGGCGTCCGAGGCTCAGAAGTCAGCTCCTTCTCCCCACGGGCACCCCGGCTCTTGTCCAGCTTGACTCTGGCAGGGGCCTTGGCTTTGAAGAGTGTCTTCCGTACCTCAGGGGTAAAGGGCTTCAGGTCTGGCTTGGAAATCTTCTTGACCTCAGGCTTGGTGTCTTTCCTCTTCTCTTCCTTCCTGCCTTCATCTTTCTTGAGCTCCTTCCTCTCCTTCTTGATCTCTTTTTTCTCCTTGTCCTTTTTCTCTTCCAGCTTAGAAATCTTTTCCTTCAGGTGCTTCTTCCCGACCTTGTCTTTGATCAGCTTCCGCTTCTCTGCCTTCAGTGCCTCACTAGACTCGGTCCTTACCCTCTCGGGCTTGGCCAGCTTTTCTGGGGGCTTCTCAGTCAACTCCTTGGTCTTCTTCTCTGTCTTGGACAACTCTTTGGCCATCTCTGAGCGGGCCTCCTTGGCTCCCTCTTCCGCCATCTCCTCCCGTTTGGCCAGCTTGCTCATGGCTGTTTTGGCAGTGGCTTTGAGGCTCTCTTTGCTGTCGGCTCGCTGTTTGATTTTGCTGGGTTTCAGGTTGGCAGGCACAGCCCCAGCAGCCAGGTCCTTCTGGGTGGCCACGGGGTAGCGCAGGAAGTCCAGGTGCCGAAGCTTCTCTAGGCCCTCCAAGATCTTATTTTGGGGAGCATTTCCTGGGAAAAGCACCCGCACAATCTTCTCCGTGGGGTTGGCTGGCAGCCAGACGACAAGAGCCGTGATGGAGGTCAGGTAGGGCACCGAAATCTCGGCCTCCTTCCCATTGGCCAACACAATGCCCGTCTTCGCTTTGCTGTTGCCCGCCCACTTCTGCATGAGGAACTGCATCTCCTTGCTGTCCTTGACGGGATTGAGGACATACATGTCCAGCCTGCCCACACCCATCTTGTGGAAGAGGGTCAGCGGCTCAATGGTGTTACTGACCACACGGTACAGGGGTTCGGCCTGGATGCCCAGGCGTTGGAGGTGCTGCAGAGTGAGGCAGGCCTCCTCAATGCTGCGCTTGGCCTTCCGGGAGGCATCCGGCAGCCGCAGCTTTTCGGGCACGTTGAAGAAGACGACACCCAGCTCGGGGGAGATGAGGTTCTTTACCCAGTCACTGTAGCTGCTCGAGCCCTGGGACTGCTCCTCCTCCAGCTCGGCCACTTTGCGCTGTAGGAGCCCATTGATGCCTGGAAGGTTGTCAGCCCCGATGTGCGTGAGCAGCACCGAGTCAATTCGGTCCAGGTGCCGCACCAGCTTCCAGAAGCAGGACTTGCGGTCGGAACCGCCATCCACCAGGATGTTGAAACCATTGACGGCAAAGAGAGCCGAGTCTCCGCGGCCACCAGGGAAGATATAGCAGCAAGGTTTGGAGAGTTTGAGGAAGCCCCCTGAGGTCGGGGGCTCCAGTAGGTCAAAAGGGGATGGCACATCTACAGTCTCAGAGACATACTCGGAGAACTCAGCCACGCCATCCATAGTGGGCAGCCTGGGCTCAGGGTTTAGCTGGAGGTGCAGGGTCTCTTGGGAACTGGATAGTCCCAGGTGGCTCCAGTCACCCTCCCCTAAGCAGGACACGGTGAGGAAGGCCTGGATCCCAGGGTCTCTATTGCTGAGCAATTGTGCAATCTGAAGGAATGGAGACAGAAGCCTGATCAGGTCACTGGGCTTGCCAGCCAAACTCAGAGGCAATCGCTTGTCTTCATCTTTTACCAAGGGCCCCTAAGCATCAGGCACTAAGGGAGATCTGACCTTCCCTGGATTCCCTCCCCTTGGCTCAAGTCCTGCTCCACAGCCCCTTGTCCATAGAGACTTGGATGTGGAACTCACCTCTGGGTTGTGCAGGACCCGGGCAAAGTCTTGGTAGGAGTAGGTGCCACTCTGTAGGATGAGGTCTCCCCCAGGCTCTAAGCTTTGCCCACTCAAGATCAGCAGTTTGTGAGCCGACGGGCTGCTAAGGAAATGGTGAACCTGGACAGAAGGAGGGGTCCAGATGGTCAAGGATGCAGGAAACCCAGGAAACACACTGACTATTCCCATATCCCACACTCGGTACTGTGTGGACCTGTTCTCTAGTGGTACCCTCCTACCACGCCTCTAGGGAACCTGGGGGCTGCTGACCTTGTAGCAGGAACATAGGCAAAAGACAAGGGTGGCTTGGAGCGCTCACAGCAGGCCCTGGACAATGTCCAGGCTCTGGCCTTACCTCAGAGCTGATGCTGTCGGCACTGGGGTTCACCAGGATGACTGTTTCTAGGCTCTCGCCCTGGTGGCAGAGAGTCCTCTGGCCTGGGGGAGAGACGGAAGAATGTGAAGAGAGCAGGTAGAGGCTGAAATGAAGAGGCAATGCTTGGCACAGGAAGGGATGTGACATCAGAAAATAGGTCCCAGGGCCTGGTGTGGTAGCCTAGCAGCTAAAGTCCTCACCTTGCATGTGCTAGGATCTCATATGGGTGCTGGTTCTAATCCCAGTGGCACTGCTTCCCATCTAGTTCCCTGCTTGTGGCCTGGAAAAGCAGCCGAGGATGGCCCAAAGTTTGGAACCCTATATCCTACATGTGGAAGACCCGTAAGAGGATTCGGGCTCCTGGCTTCAGATTGGTGCAGCTCTGGCCATTGTGGCCGCTTGGGGAGTGAACCATTGGACAAAAGATCTTCCTCTCTGTCCCTCCTTCTCTCTGTAAATCTGACTTTCCAATAAAAAAAATAAATCTTAAACAAAAACATAAATTTAAAAAATTTTTAAAAAGGAAAGAAAATAAAATAGGGCTTGAGGAAAAAAAACAAGCCAGGCTCTCCTTGGACCCACTGAATAGGGTGCAGGACGTGGCTCTTCCAGCACTTCCTTCTCCCACACTTGCTGCCTTCTCCCTCCGTTCACTGGCCCCAGCCTCTGCTGCCCATGCCCCTTTCCCTCTGCCTGGGACTCCCTGTGGACAAGAAGCTTTTGTCTCTCTAGAGCATCGAGTTCCTGGTGCTGCCTGGGGATGGAGCGCTCGGCTGGAGAGAGGGCTCCTGGGAGATACGCCTCGCTCAGCTCTCTATGCTAGCTGGTCTCTGTCTGGGCCTTCTGAGCTGGAAGACCATTTGAAAACCAGGAGCCTGGGGAGTTTCTGTGTAGAGTCTGCAGAGTCTAATCTGCCACCCAGGGAAAGAACTCCTGTTCCAGAAGATTCCAGGACACCCATGTTATCTAAATTCTTGGGGGTTAACAGGCCGAATGGACATAGCATTGTAACTTCCTGTTGCAGCCTTTGGATCCTGGAAGGCGCAGCCTGCACTCCCAGGCATACAGTCACCCTGTTCTCACCCAACTCCCTGTTTCCAGCTCACTCTCTTATTATGCTCCATGCCTTGTCAATACCTTCTCTTCTCCTTGCCTCTCACCCATGCACCTTTTACCATGGAGACTAGAGAGTAAGGGGTTCACCAAAAAGAAACACATAAATCAGGAAGGAGAGGTTCAGGATTTCCTCCAGTCTGTGGGAAAAGGCCAGACATTTCCCCAATCCCCTCTCCACTTCCTTCTCCAGACCTGCATGAAACAGTAAGCCATGTAGCACATCACAGGTCACAAACGCAGGTAGCACAAATGCGTCCCTTTCTTGCTGTATCCCCACCAACAGCAGCACCCGATGGAGTTAACCTTACAGAGAAGTCAATACATGGTACGGGCAAGGGGATGGCCTGGCGGGAGCATCCTGGCACTGGGAGGGCTCATAATCTTCACCCTAGACCATTTCCTGTGTCCTCCTCTCTCCGCCCTCTGGGGCCTTTGTCATACAGAAGACAGCTATAGTGCCAGGGTCAGATAGAATACAGCACAGGCCTGTGGACAGACACAGCTACAGGGTGAAAATGACCCCCATGGCTAGTGTCAGAAGCCTGGGCCCCAGAGGGGCTCAAGGGTTTTCCTGCATCTAACAACTTGGGAATGGAGGAAGCCTCTGAGGTCATTTCAGAGAGCCTCCTCAGAGGCAGGCAGGGTCAAGGCTTGCACAGATAGCGACATCAAGGTCCCTGGAGCAACCAGCTCTAAGTGGCTGGGATTGAGAAGGGCAGGAGCTCCCTTCAAAACAAGGTCACGCATTTGCGCCGGGAGGTTAGAAACATATACACGGACATCATCCCATACACCCGATTCCCCCCAGCCCCATCTCTTTATAATCAAACTTCTCTGATCCCAGCACCCAGCCTAGCATAGGACACTGTCCCAACCCTATATTAAGACTGGGGGTGGTTCTGACCTGCAGCTACACTTGTTTTAGGTATTCTGCAGGCCTGAGAGAAAGCCCCGACTCTCTCTCTTCCGCTTCCCTCAGCCCTCCCAAGGATGGGAACTGCCCGGTTTTTCCATTTTCAAGGAAGAGGAGTCTGCCACCAGGAGGCGGAGGCGCTGGGCTGGGCAGGCCAAGAGCGGGCAGGTGTCTCTGCAGTGAGACAGGGTGGGGGTGGGGGGGCCGGCAGCTGCAGTTTGCCGCAGTGTGTGAGTGTGTGCGCACGAGTGTGCGCGCTGAGCTCAGCGCCAGCTCCGCCCCCACCCCCACCCCAGCATGACAAGTCATTTTCTTGGCTGCCTCTGCATGTGGGAGGGGGGTGCGAGGGGGGGATGCCGAGAGGGAGAAGAAACTGGCTTCTCTGTTCTAGAGCCCCCATCTTGGGAAGAGAACGGAGGGGAGGCGGGGGTGGGGCTGACACTTGGGGACCTGTGGGGTTGACAGTGCTGGGAATGCCAGGCAGCTGCTGGCCGAGAGCATTCTCCATCTCTGGAGGGACCTCAGGGGGTCGGCAAGGGGGGCTTAGAGTTCATCTCAAGCTGGTGGCAGTGAACGAGGTTGGGGGCCGGTGAGGGGCCAGCCCATTGCAAACCAGTTGGTCTGTGAGGGACGCACATGCCAAGTCTCAATAACCCTTTTCCACAGTGTCCCCGCAGCTTTTCTGATTTGGCAAAAACCAGTGGCCCACTCACCCCCAGCCTCAGAGCAAGGCAGCAGTCCCGAGACCCGCGCCCAGGGACCCTCCTTGCTAGACACTTGCCCTTAACCTCTCCCTTTTCTCTCAGCTCCTCCAGCTTCTGGTCAAAGACCTACACCTCCCAAACTCCTCTGGCACCCAGGAGGCACAGCCTGCAACACCCCACTCTGTTCCTGCCTTGGGTAATAGTCTCCCACCCCCACCCAGCTGGGGAACTGTCACAGCCCCCCGCCCCCACCATGACAGCCCAGCCTCCACCTGGATCCAAATCCCGGCGGGCCCCACAGCCAGCACCATTTGTCTTTCCTCCCGTTTTTTCTTCCCCCAACCCCATTCCCTCGCCTGCCCACGACACTGGGCTGCTTCCAGGAGCACCACGGGAGGCATCAGCTGCCTCCCTGTTACCTCGGTCCATCTCCCCAGGCCCCCTTCCCCCATTGAGCCCTTAGGTCCAGGTCTTACCCTTTGGTGGCGGCGTGGGGGAGAGCCCCTCATGGAGGCGGTGGCTCCGGCCTCAGCCGGCAGCTACAGGGAAGAGTCTGCGGCACTTGGGGTGGGAGTTGGGGAGGGGGGGTTGGATGGGGAGGGCGGCGCCAGGGCGGGGAAGAGGGGTTGGTCGGTGACGAGGCACTGGAGACTTAACTGTTTCTGTGCCTTTGTAGCATCAGTACTCAGAGCTTGGCTTGGCTGCGGGACTGTGGGGAGAGGGTTGCCAGGTTGTCTAGCAATGCAAGGACAGTCAGGGCTGTCACCTGTGGCCCATTCAACTCTTCTCCCATTAGTTAAGAAAGACTTAGTAAAGAAACTTAGTTAAGAAAGATTCTCAGCCAGAAGACCAAAACCCAGAACTTGCTTGGGCCCAGAGCCGGGAGGCGAGAGGCATGCCCTCCCCGTTCTTAGAAACCATCTGCTGCCTATACTCTCAGATGGATCCAGGGGGTGACCTTCAGTCCCTGAAGGAGCCAGAGACAAAGAGACTGTGAGAGCAAAGCTAGTGGGCTGGGCAGATGACAGGAAATTCTCGTCCCTTTCAGTTCAGAACCAAGGTTACAGAAAGCAGGGAAAGGAAGAAAAAGTCTTATTCTAGGGCCGGAGAGGAGTTTGAAATTTTGGAGAAGATGCCTGAGGTGGGGCACAGGGACCCAGGGAACTGCCTGCTAGCTCATGCCAGGACAGTACAGCACAGTAACCACAGCACAGCACACATCCCTGGGATTCTTGAGTCATTGGGTAGGAAGAGGCAGGCCCTGAAGGGGCACGGAGCTTTCTGGCTTTCAGTGAAGGAGTTAACAAGGGCCCTGGCCCCAAGCAAGGTTTCCTCACTGTAGACCAATTATTAACTAGAACCTCAGACAGGCTTTTGGATTTTAAAAGTCCTATCACTGATGCTGCAGGGTGTTGGATCCCTAGCCTCTCCTTGTCTCTCACTGCTCTGTTGTATATTATCCTGATCCTTTTACTGTTGACCCGGCTGCCCTTACTCTCTCCTTCTGTCTCAGATTTAGTCAAGTGCTCTCCAGCTCAAAGGAGGATCTGGAGAGCTCTGACACTCACTTCCACCCAGGGATGCTCCCACTCTCACTCACACACCCCGGCCTCCTCTCATCAGCCCTCCCTGGGTGAGACCAGCTCCAAGGCCTTTCGCACAGCCACATCCACAGACTCACACACCAGCACCTGCCCCACCCTTGCCCCAGGCTGCCAAGATCAGCCTCTGAAGGTCAGAGAAGCCAAAATAGTCTCTGCTCTCAGCATCCCTCATTCCCTTTAACTGCAGCCAGAGGAGGAGCTGAGTCACCGGTACTCTTGTAGCAGAGGGGGGAGGAATTTTTGCTCAGATCCGGGGATGCAAAGCAGCAACAAGGCAGTCGCCCCATTTGGATAGAAGCGGCCATCTGCAGAAGTACACCATGCAAACCAGGCCAAGTTCAGAGTGTGACAAACGGAAAATACCTTCCTTCTGCAACTTCATAGCCCTTATTGCCTCCCATCTCAAGTTTGCTTTCCCTTCTCTGCTTTCTAGGGCTCTCTGGAGTATATAAAGGAGAGAAACCTGGGTAGACTTTTGGCTTGAGAACAAGTCAAATCGCATTTCCTAGCCTTGTCCAAAGCCCACCCTGTGGTCAGCTGTCATCCCCAAGCACCACACCCTGGGGGCATGGTTCCAGCTCACCATGGAGTTTTCCTTCAGCCCTCAGCCTCCGAATAGCCACCTGCCAAGCACAAGCTCGCTGCCATGTTCCTAGGCTCTACTGCAATGGAATGATGAGATGCCAGAGAAAAGAGAGAGGCATGAGCTCAGGCACAAAGTGAGCTCAGAAGTCCTGAACCTGAGACATACATGATCATGCTGTTGCTAATTGTGCTGCTCTCTGAGACCTTGCTTCCCAGATGGTGGAGTTCAGATTCATCTCATCCTCCAGTGCTGAGGGAGGGACAGCATAAAAAAGATATAAAAGTGGTGCTCCATTCCTATCCTAAGCCTGGACTGTACCAATGCCACTGGAAAGCTCCCCTTTTGATGCAAGATTTCTAATAAGTCATCTGGGCCATCAGGGAACCCCTACCTCAGAATCACAGACCCTTGAATACCCTTAGCTCTCAGGTAAACCCTGAACTTGAGGTGCCTGATGGATGTGACATTAAGCCCTACCCGTGTTCCTACTTTCCGATTTCAGACAACAGTGTAGATCCCAATTGCCCAGGCAATGAACTGCTGCATTGTTACTTCACGACGCCCTTGGTCCTGGAAGATCAGAGCAGTCATTTCCTGAGCGCATCCGTGGTAATGCAGAGTCAGAAGGCTTCAGATTAGTTCCTCTGCCTGTATGTTTGAGTCTTAGAATATCAGTTATGAATTATGAAGTCCCTCCCCAGCCTAACAGATCTCAGAATATTACTGAGACTTGGTTTTCCACTAACCCTAATTGCGTCTGGGTTTGAGCTAGAATGCTCAGACACTCCACAGTTTTTTTGCAGAGGTGTCAGAGGAACTCCCCCCCCCCCCCCAAGTTACCAAGGGAGACAACCTGGTACAAAAGCCACCTGTGAACATTTTTACCACATTTGACCACTAGAAGGAGCTGGGCCACCTCTTTAGAGTATTGGGTCCCTTCTTTTCCATGTGTGGGTAGATGAATGTGGAGATGGCAGTCACCAAGAATAGTTGGTGCTTTTTCTGTCTTTGTAGGGTACATTTGTGACCTCTTCCCTGGCATTTTGGCTGCAGCACTTTGGGACTGGTGGTACGGATGGTGACTTAGCCTGGAGTGGACAGAAAGGGTCGTGTCATAAGGCACTGACTGGCACATCTCCCTGAGCGCCTGCCAGTTGCCTGGCTCCCTCTGCCTCTTCGTCGCTAACAAGAGGCTAAAGGGACAGTGTCTGCAGCTGCTCCAGGGCTGACTGTTGTTTGTGGGGACAGCTGAAAGAGGAGCCAGCAGGGGTGGGGCTGCGGCTGTCTTGAGCTGTGTGGGTTTTTCCAGGAAATTCTCCACTATTCTTCAGGGACTCACACAGGCTACCATGAAAACATCTAAACCTACGGAACCGGGGTGTAGGAAAGGAAGCCTTTCTTTCATGCCAAGGGTCCTAAGGCCTCATGAGGACAGTACAGTCGAACTCTGTAACTAAGATGCTCTAGCTGGGACTTATCAGCCACTGTTTGTTGCTGAGAAGTACCTGAAAATCGGTATGCATCTCCCAAGGATCCCTTCAATTTAATCCCACCAAGAGTTCAGAATTTCTTTACATCATTCTCAAAAACTGCCTAACTCTCAAGTCTGTTTGGTCTAAGTGACAAGGTTAGAGAATTCAGTGTGAGTTATCAATGTCGACAGAAAACCCTCAGATTTCACCATCATCATCTCATTCAGCCTCACACCAAAGCTGCTAGGTGTACTAAGTGGTCAAATGGTAGTTTTCAATCATGAGGGACAGTGGAGGAAGCCATGGCATGAATCCTCAGCAGGAGGAGGAGATTAGCTTTACAGGAAGCCAAACACCCTAGGAAGATGCTAGCCTCAATTTTTAAAATTGCTACACATATTCCTAGGACCCTGCAGCTTTAGTTCTATCAAACTGGCTTCCCTCAACATTCCAGCAGCATCAGGAAATGATCACAGATCTGACAGCTGGGGGAGAAGCAGGGAGAGGAGAGGTGACTATCTCCTGGATAACTGAATGATTCTTTCAAGAGATGAAGTCATTCTGTGGCAGTTGCTGTCAAGTTGGATGCATTTGCTATTCCACAAGACTGTATGAATTGCTGTGTCAACATTTACCAATGAGCAAATGCCTGAAATTGTTACTAGGGAAAGTGGGGCTTTCTACATCTCTCCATAGATATCTGTCACACAATGAGAATCCCTAAAAATCTGATTTCCCCAAATCTCTATCCCACTTATCCCACCCAGCAGAATGGAAAACTGCTTGCTGTGCGAACTCTGACCTCAGAAAGTCTGACTGTAACTCCAGGAGAGTGGCTGTTGTGGCACGCTGGGAGGAGGAGTGGAGGGAGTTCCAGGCTCCTGGATTTAGCCTGGGTCAGACCTGGCTGTTGCATCCATTTGGAGAGTGAACCAGTAGAGGTAATCTCTCTTTCTTCCCCTCCTTCCCTGTCACTCTGCCTTCTCAAACAAATAAATAAATAAATCTAAAAACAACAACAACAACAAAAAAACCACCTTGGGCCCCCTGTGGTAGCCTAGTGGCTAAGGTCCTCATCTTGCGTGTGCTTAGATCCCATAGGGACACTGGTTTGTATCCTGGCTGTTCCACTTCCCTTCTAGCTCCCTACTTGTGGCCTGTAGAGGATGGCCCAAAGCCTTGGGGATCCTGCACCTATGTGGGAAACCTGGAAGTAGCTTCTGGCTTCAGATTGGCTCAACTACAGCCATTGCAGCTACTTGGGGAGTGAACCAGTGGATGAAAGATCCTTCCGTTTCTCCTTCTTTCTGTAAATCTGACTATCCAATAAAAATAAATAAATCTTAAAAAAAAAACAACAAAAACCTTTCCTGGAGACCCTCCGTCCCGGATTTGATGATGCTCGTCAGCCTTTGGCATCAGGATTTTGCTCAGTCTGGAGATCTGCTAAGCCCATAGAGGACCCAGAAACCCTGACACCTGGGAAGTAGGCTGTGCAGCCTGAGGGAAAATGCCGAACACAAGTCTGGAAAAGGGGGCTCTGTAAAGGGAAGTAAGGAGGCTGGGAAAGGTCAGAAAAAGAACTCAAAGACTGCAGATTTCCACATGGGGGAATGATCAGAGCAGTAGCTCATTCCACTAGCGCATGGCGACGGCTGTCCGCAAACCATACATGGCAGACTAAAATCACGTCCTTCCCACTCCCTCTCCATCTTACCACCTGTCTGCCAAGTGTCCCCCAGAACCCGGAAATGGCATAGCAGTGGACTCCCTGCTAATGGATGCTGCCCTCAGGAGTGCGTCTCTTTTGTCCCCACCCAAACACCCCACAAGGCCAGGTCTGAGGGCAAGGCTGGACCTCTGCTCTTCTGTGACCGGCTCTCCCCCAAAGAACTGACACAAAATGACACTTGTCCTAACCTTTGACCTCTGAGGAGAAGTGAGCTAGGTGCCTGGTAATGAAGAGTCTCAACTGCTGGTTCAAGTCAAAGGATGACAAGTCAATGTTCCAGGAGAGAATCCCTGTGGGAGAAAAGAAACAAAGAGGGTGCTGGATCAGGTCGGGGTGGTCATGATGGCCATGGTAGCATCTACTCGCAGCTCGAAAAACGTGGCCAGCACCTGGAAATGGCTCTCGACCTGTACCTTTCCAGAGCAGGTACATGCCAGAAAAGGGCAGAGAAGGCACTAAACTCTATCACAAACGAGTCTACAGGTGGGAATTTTCTTTGCCAGGTTGCCCAGGCTGCGATAAATGGTGCCACCAAAAAGCCTATTCCCAATTACTGGAAGTTCACATGTAAGTAGGATTCCAGATTCTCCCACCCCCATTTGCCTCCACTCCTCAGCAACTGGCTTCCACCTCAGGAGGCTCCGCAGCACTGCGCCACAGGCACAGCAAGTGGGGAGGGAGGAGGAGAGCACTGAGGCGCTGGTAGCAGCGAAGGTCACTCTAGGGCCGGCCACCGACAGTCAAAAGATTTGAGATTTGTGCGCAGCGGCAGTTAAGCAAGCACTCCAGGCGGTTCCGGGACTCTTAAGCAAAGACGCAGGAAGGTAGGGATCCAAATTCTCCAGGAATTGGGGAGGACTCTCACCATCTGTGGCCCCAAACTACAGGAGAGGGGTGTGACGGGGACCGGGGAGTGTCCAGAGACCCGGCCCAGAGCTTCCCCCAGCTCATATCGACTGCGGAATACCGCGGGGATGCGGGAAGCATGAGGACGCGAGATTGTTAGCAGCTCCAGGGGCTACGGACACAGGACAAGGAAGATGCAGGTGCCAGGGGCTCGGAGTCCAGGTAGTTCACAACTAGGGATGGAGGATGATGCAGACTGCACGCTGGGAGGTGAATGCAGATGGTGGAGAAGCCCCCCGGGTGGAAGTCCCAAAGCTCACAGACCGGACCGCGGCTCACCTTGTTCAAGGTGGGCCCGCACGGCCCTCAGCTGACTCTCAGTACCGATATCGCCGATCACGATGAGCAAAGAATGTTTTCGCAGGTCCCAGCGTGCCACCGCCGCCGCTGGGGTCCTGGTCTCGCACAGTGGCTCGGCGGGATTCTGAGGCAGCGGTGAGCCGGGGCTTCGGAGCCCCAGCCCTGGCGTTGTCTCCATGGTAACGCCGCCAGGCCGCGCGGGCCGGGCCTCGGTCTCCATGGAAACGCCGACGGAGTGCTAGGCCGGCCGCGTCCGCCGCGAGCGGGAGTGCGCGCGGTTCTTAAAGGCCGGCGGCAGGAGCCGCTCATTGGCTGCGGCCTGTCAGGGGGCGGGGCGTCGGCGCCGCAGGGGCCGGGCTGAGGGCCGGGCCGCGCGAGCTCTGCGGCGTGGCTCCGCCAGGGGGTGGTGGCTGCTCCCTCTCAGCCCCCCTCGTTGTGCTGAGAGGGATGCCGCTCCGACGTGAGAGGGGGATGAGGGCTCACTGGAGGGGCTAAAAGCGCCGAAAAGAAGCTTCTAGTTAGGACGGGTACCTAACGGTACTGACTGACGACTCCTCAACTTCGCCCGACCTGAGGGGAGCCATCTTGTCCCTGTCAGCCTCAGCCTTGTTGTGGCGCCTCCTGTATCTGTGTAGTAGGCTCGTGGTCTGGCACTTTTTTTTTTTTTTTTTGATGACTCTGGCTGCCCGAGTGCTGTTCTGCGTCCTCGGTCTCCCTGTCCTTGCCCCAGGCTCTGGTAGTGCCCAGGAAAGGCTGCGCAGTCCTGGAGGGGACAGAATGACCTTCCGGCCTTGAGTCCCTGGTGAGTTGTTATTCCAAAGATAGTGGTTGGCTGGTCTCCATCTCTGCTGAGCTCGGTGAGCTCACACTGCAGCGTGGGGGGATTGGACTCCCTACCTACTACAAGCGATGTGACACGGTGATAGAGATTACCTCAGGAGAGCGTAGGGGAAATCCTCACAAGTCAAAGGGGCAACATTTGAACCGAAAAAGAGATTGACAGTACCACTGAAGAGCCCGGGGGTGGGGGTGGGTTGGAGGACTGAAGAGAGCTGGCACGATTTTGTGCTTGAGCGATGTTTCTGAGAAAATGGTGCTGTGAGGTGTATCTTCTCCATTCCCCATTGTCTACTCTGGAATATAGCGTCTTCCGGGGTCCTAAATCATTCTGCCCAAGTATGCATTCGATAGAGGGCTTCTCTTTCAGCCTAGAACTGGAGCAGCACTTGTTTTTTGTTTTCTGTTTTGGATATGGTACAGGGTAGAAGAGACTGCCACACCTGATTCAGCAGTCGGCCTTGTGTGCACGTCAAGGACTTCACACAGCCATCCTGTTAGAGCAAAACGGCCAGTCTGTTCTGTAACTGATCTCAGCCTGACTCTGGAAACCTGGAAATCTTTTTTTTTTTCCCTTTGGTAGCAAAGATGAAGAGATAGGAGCACTGGCAGAACATCAAAGGGCGGGGGCACGTCACCCCATATGACAAAAGTCAGTGTGCCACTGTATTTTCCTTCGAGCCCTCTCCTCCCAGTTTGCAGATTTGAATCATTCAGGCCTCCTCTTTTGCAAGCAGAACAGAGTGCGGTGAGGAGACAGAGAGCCAGAATAGGTTGTAGAGAGTGAGGTAGGGGACAGTTTCCATAGCAACCACAGAGATGAAGACTTTAGCACAGGGTCTCAGTCTAAGGGGTCAGTAGTAGTTAACCATGGGCAGTGCTTTCATCAGGTCCAACAAAAAGGTTAGATAGTAGCTCTGAATGATGTAGAAAAGAATCATGCTGTTTAGTTAGAAGGGGCAAAAATGCAGGGCTTTTTTTTGTTTATCTTGGGTTTGCTGGAATTGGGTTTTATTAATTACAGCTGAAAATATAGACTCTGATAGTACTCAAACTGCATATGTGTGCTAGATGGATATTCAAACAGCTCTTTGCCAGAGTAGACAATTTTGCAAAAAGATGGGCTATGGGCATCTCTTAAATCATCCTATCAGAAAATATAAAGTATTACCTTGTACAGTGCACTATGTAAAATGTTCTATAACAAAAAATTGTGGAAGTTGACATTTGCTTCAGAATTTTACTACTGAAGATGAGACATCGGCGCTCATTTGTATGAGACATAGAAAGCTGAGTAACAAAAGACTACATACATACATTGAAAATTATATTTTAGTATAATAGGTTTTTACCTATTTTGTATTTAGGAATAGTGTGCAGTGGTCGAAGCCCGACAGAAAAGATTGCTATTCAAAAACATGTCCTGGGAGATTACTGGGGACAGGCATGACTGGGAGGTAGGTATAGTAGTTTGTGGTGATTATGCAGCCCACTGTAGCTCCATTTAACTGTTGAACCCTTGGGTAGTCTGGGTGTCTTTTAGCAGTTCTTCATTGCTCAATGTTCTTGTTAAGCAAGATGAATGGAGGTAGTGGAACAACCAATGCTGTCAAAATGTTTGTGATGAGGGACCTTGAATTGTGGATCTAACTCTGACCACGCCAAGAAGAGCTTAGTAGAAGTGAGAGAGAAAGACACTGCTACTGTAGATGCTTTTTTGGAGTGTGCACTGAGATAGGCATAAGGTGGAAGGAAGGAAAGTATAATACCTTTTACATGGTTTGAAGAGTATGATGGCCTAGGCTATGTTTATAAATCAGGGACATATTAGTATCCAAACATTTGTCATTTTGTAATACAGAGTGATAAATTCCCGAAAGGTGAATTAAGCACAATCTTAACAAAATGAGAAGTATATCTCTAATTTTTTTTCTGGAAATAACTTCATATTTGGTATTTAAAATGAAGTTTTAAAGTTGTCTTCATGATAAAAAATCAGAACTTGATTGTAATGGGCTATACTAATTTTGAAGGAAGTGGGTATTGGTGGAGATAAAAGGCTCTTGTAAAATTTTCTGTGTGTTTAAAGTTTCTGTAAGATTTATGCCAGCTCTCATTAATAACAAAAAGATGCTTAGAGAGGGCATTGTGGTGTAGCAGGGTAAGGTGTTTATAAGATACTGGAAGCCCACAGTGCAGGGTCAATTCTAATTCTGAGTCTTTTGCTTTCATTTCTTTTTAAAGATTTATTTTTATTGGAAAGTCAGATATACAGAGAAAAGGAGAGACAGAGAGGAAGATCTTCTGTCTGATGATTCAATCCACAAGTGGCAGCCAACGGCCGGAGCTACACCAATCCAAAGCCAGGAGTTAGGAGCCTCTTCCAGGTCCCCCAGAGGGGTGCAGGGTCCCAAAGTTTTGGGCCATCTTCGACTGCTTTCCTAGACCACAGAGAGGGAGCTGGATGGGAAACAGGGCTCTGGGGATTAAAACAGGCACTCATATGGGATCCTGACACATGCAAGGCAAGGACTTTAGCCGCTAGGTTACCTATGCTGGGATCCTGGCTTTTTGCTTTCAGTCCTGCTCCTTGCTAATGCATCTGGAGACAGATGATAATGGCCCAGTACTTGTGTCCCCGCTGCTCACCTGAGAGGTCCAGGTAGAGTTACTGGCTCCTGGATTAAACCTATCCCAGCCTTGGCTGTAGCAAGATTTTGGAAAGTGAACCAGCCAATGGAAGATATTCTCTCTCTGCACCCCTGTTCTCTTTCTTTGTGTCACTATCTCTTACTTCCAGCCCAGTGAATCTCCTTAGTTTTTCTGGTAGTTGAAACTCATTTGGCAGAACTCTAGCATGCTCTGCTGGATTGCATGATCTTAACAAAAGTATCCAAAGGGAGCCATGTGCAGCTCAGATTTCCATCCTGTACCAAATAATGCCCATCAGGCATTTTTTACACAGAGAGAGCTAGATTGGATTACTGGATTGCTGTGCAAGAGGTTCATCCTTGGCTTCTGGGGAAAATACAGTGATCACAATATGTACCAGCAGCCAATGGGTCACCTTTTTGCATGAACAGCTGGTTTATCAATAAAGACATGGAGTAAAATCATCCTTGAAAAGGCTGAGCGGCAGACGACTCTGCTTGTATTACCGTTGTCTGGCTTGCTGTAAGTGTTTGTTAAATACTTTTCCTAATTATTATTTTTACACATTACATGAATGATTGGAGCAAAGGTGCTGGGTTTGCCTTCACTCTGAAGTAAATTGCAAAGGTGAAAACTGAAGAAATTTTTTGCATTCTTTTATTGATAAAATTAAAAGCTCCTGGTGTAATGGCTCAATGGCTAAATCCTCACATTGCCTGTGCCAACATTCCATATAGGCACCAATTCATGTCCTGACTGCTCCACTTCCCATCCAGCTCCCTGCTTGCCTACGAAAAGCAGTAGAGGACAGTCTAAAACCTTGTGACCCTGCATCTGCATAGGAGACCCAGAACACACTCCTGGCTCCTGACTTCAGATTAGCTCAAAACTGACCACTGCAGCCATCCAGGGAGTGAACCAGTGCATGGAAGATCTTTCTCTCTGTCTCTTTTCTCTATAAATCTGATCTGCCCTAGCTCATAAAAAGAAATAAATCTTTTTTTTTAAAAAAAGGTTGCATTAAAATATTTAAAATAAGGTGATTCTAATAAATAAAGAAGCATTTGTGTATACTGTTTCCTTTATCCCTTTGATTATCCTGTGACATGGTAGGCAGTATTTGTGGTAACATCCTTTACTTTGGTATGAGTAAAGCTAAATTTTAGGACAGCACAATCTAAGGCTGGCTGGCTTTCTTTCTTCTTCTTTTTTTTTTTTAAGATTTATTTATTTTATTACAAAGTCAGAAATACAGAGAGGAGGAGATACAGAGAGGAAGATCTTCTGTCCCATGATTCACTCCCCAAGTGAGCTCAAAGGCCGGTGCCCTGCTGTGCCGATCCAAAGCCCGCCCCTTCCTTCCTTCCTTCCTCCCTCCCTTCCTTCCTATTGCAAACTCAGATATACACAGAGGAGGAGAGACATAGAGGAAGACCTTCCAATGATTCACTCCCCAATTGACTCCAATGGTCGGTGCTGTGCTGATCCAAAGCCAGGATCCAGGAACTTCTTCCAGCTCTCCCACATAGCAGCTCAAAGCCAGGGGCAGAGAGGCCATCAGGACTTGAACTTGCACTCCCATATGGGATGTGTGTATTCCAAGAAGTGGTTTAATTCACTGTACTACAATGTCCAGCTCAAAAGTTGCAATTTTTTTTAAATGTAAGCTTACTTTGCATCAGTAATGGTTGAAATCCATGCATGGCTTTTTTTTTTTAATTGGAAAGGCAG